CTTGTCATCACTCTCTTTATACATCGACTCCCTAATAATTAGGGTTTTGTTGTATTGCAGCGAAAGAAAATGGCACATTTGGCTCTATTCACTTATTGTTGTGTTCTTTAAGTGAAGTAGTGATATTAATACACTATTTGGCTCCATTACATGTAGGACGTGACCTGAGTCAGCACTATGATGGGATTTGGAAATACATTAATTTGAAAAAAAAAAAAACATATTTATCGTAGACGACAGTTTGTAGAACTATGAACAATGTTCAGCGCGTTACACTTTGTTGAACTTGCTGTGTGCCCTCAGAACTGCGGCTGTCGACGTCAAAACGTGGATGGAATACCTGACCTACATACCCAGTCAGCGGGGACGCCTGGGCCACAGCCAACTCCATCGCTGTAACTACTTTTTATTTCGATAAAGAAAGTGCATGATCGTGTACCTACCATTTTAGAGATCGGTTTCGACCATTCACGTAGAATCACAATAACGCCATAATTATCTCCTTCATACGTAGATATTGGCTCGCTATGAATAAATAGTCATACAAACATTTGAAATCGCTAGAAAACTGGGGTTTATTACGCATGTCTTTCTAAACTAAATACAGAAATTAATGATCATGTTTAGTTCAGTACCCTCTATATTTCACATTCATTACAATACTAATGCAAAATTTTCGACTCGGGCAGGACTTGAACCGGCATCGTCAGCGTTCTGCGCTCTACCAATTGACTCGGTAGCTCAATTGGTAGAGCAACAGCACGGAACGCGGACGATGCCGGTTCAAGTCCTCTCCCTGAGTCGAAATTGTTTTCGATTTATTTTCGATTTTTAAATTATATAGTGCCTTCATGTGAAAAATATTAATGTTTTCAAATACGAATGCAGTTAATTTTTGAACAAGTATCTGTGCACACATGTTTCTTCGGATCCTGATAAAGCAATTTTTCGTTCATGAATTTAATATATGCAAAAATACACATGGCGTCGACGACAAAGTCGGTTCTATATTCAATATATCCCTAGAGAATTTAATAGCTATCTTTGTGACGTCATTGAATTTGAAATTCAAATTCTTCACAGAAACTCTATTCTGGTTTACTCGCATGTAGGTACACGATGTTTTTGGTGTTCAACGGTGTTTTGAATTTTTAATGTAATTTCTTTACCATTGTACTCAATGTTTGGTACTCGTTACTGGACGTATTCTATGATCGATGTCTACTATGCACTAGTGATGTAACTTATATGAATGAGTTATCTATAAAGTCTTGATAAAACATCTGGTTGCAGAAATAGTAGATCTGTAATGTTTTCCGTTTTTGAACTGTGTAAAATGTTATGATAAGTAATCATGAACTTAATTTATCAGAATGACTTCTATCAATCAAATCAATTTAGCATTCGTCGGTCGCCTAGGTGATTCCATAAATTTATTTACATAATAAGATACGGCGGGTTGACTATACGTAAACAGAGAGCATCTTTAAATACAGAAATCTATTTTTGGATCTACCTAGAACTTCTGTATTAGATTTTCAACGACTAGCGTAGGATTCAGTCCTTCGTTGTAATCAAATCAAACCCCTGACATTTAGATCATAGGTCATTCGCTATTTATGTATGTCGCTGTGCTAGACAAACGTTTTATCATATTTTCATTTTTAAAGGCGGTGTATTGATAGCTTTTCTTGTAGTAAACTTGTGTTTTATTTTGTGTAAATAAGGATAAAATGGCAACAATTTAAAAAAAATAAAACACTTTAACGATTTAAAACGCGATATATATTAGTTAAACTTATTTGAAAATTATTTTAAACTACAAATAAGTTTAACTCATATATTTAAGCCCTTAAAGTGTTTTATTTAAATGTGTACTACTCGTGTAAACTACCGACAGTATTTAATAATTTAAATTGTATGCTTATATAGATAATTTTTATTCATAGCACACGTGAAGTTATTTTGCAGACTTCATGTAATATTAATTGGAGTCTTTCAGCTGCGCCGTATTTAGAGACGCGGTTTCTCATTTACAACATGAATACGTGTCATTTACTCTTAGGAAATACTGTCCTTTGAACAAGGTCTTCGATAAAACGGACACGAGTGCATCGCGTCTTACTTTCTAAGAACCCTTTTACATTTGACACTCGGGTGTAATGTCCGTACGTACTTACGTGAATAAGATAAAATGATTCTAAATTTTTTAACAGCTGGTATGATTACTGGGTATTAAATAAAATAATTAAAAGCACAACTTCAAATATACTCCACAACTAAACCAAACATTTACATAAATTATTCAGTCATTATTTTTTTCTTGATTAACATGTGCAGTTACTAAATAATGTTTATAAAAAAATCTGCAAAGTTTATTGTCAATGTATTTTTTATTCTATAGTCCAGTTGTGAGCTGAAATGTACATTCCACTGATGCCCCTAAATGAAGGCCTTTTTCAAACAGCAATCATTTGAAGAAGGTTAATCAAGATTTTGCAGCGCTAAGTGGTGTTTCAAAATAAACATTTCGTCAAGGCAGTGTTCTTGCGAGTCGTCTTATACGATAACAATGCTCTCTCAGAACTACGCGGGATTTGATTGTTAGCAAAGGCGCTGAGTAAAGTAGAACTCTAGCTTCAACCTTCATGTTTATCTCGACTCTCCACTACAGTCGCCCTAATTCAGAGAATAGAATTTACTTTACGAGTTTTGTCATCACTCGTACAGACCTAATTTTGATTCGAGGACAGTGCAGCCAAACTTATTGATATCAATCTCATTTAGTGGTATGTAAACCTTGTGCTTTAACTACAAAACCAATTTTTGGTGTGTGAGTATAAAAAGGGGGGGGGGGGAAGCATTAACGACATGTATTTGGATATTAAAAAATCTTGGTGAAACAGAATTTTATTTACATTATAAATCCATATTCCACTACATATATATACATATAGCAAGTCTAACGTCCTGCATCAATCGATCGATTCCCGCCCATGTCATTGTCTTATTTACGCAGTTCCTAATTACTAGTTAGTAGTGCTCTGTAGTCAGGATGTTGTTTTAATAAATTTACTCCATGTATATAATGCAGCTAAAAGCTTAAGTGCTAAAATCAAATATTTCAAAGATCATAAACAAAATATACAGTCCTGTATATCGTCAGTCGTCTCGACGACGTCTACGTATTCAATAGGGATATTAATATTGCTGTCGGTTTGACGTCATGGGGTTGTCTACAGTCTAGACTGCGGAAGATAAGAGGAGGTACTAAAAATACATTGCTTCCACGAAAGAAAGTAACTATTATTTGACGCAAATTAGTAAGACTGTCTAGTCTTTGAGACTGGAAGTATTTTAACACTATAAGTTTATTTTCCGAATATTTTTGAGTTAATTCAGCATGTCATTATGGAGAAATTTTGTTAAATTTTCGTACTATTACTAAAAATACCATTTACATGAGGGCGAAACTCAGTAATGTCAGATCAACGAAACGAAATATAATTTCGACGTCAGAAGTAACCTAAAATTATTTGAGAGCCAAAAGGGCAATGACCTCGCACCCCTTACTTTCTTGACGATCGTAAGCCCGTCTGGGCTCACCCCAAAGTTCTCCGGGAACATTTATTGACCTTATATGCCTTACCTTGCACTCAAATTATGATCTGCTTCTAAATTAAACTGCAATCGAGACGTCGACAAAATACTGTTAAAAGAATGGATATTAATTATTGTCTATAAGGTTGTTTTATATTGGTATATATAAATCAATAAGAAATCAAAGCCAGCAGTAAATTTTTGTTAAAAAGCAATATTTTTGTTTTTTTTCAACCAATAAAAAACTAGGTATGTAGGTCATATAATTATAGAGTTACTACTTTTCAAGCCTTCAGTGAAGCGTTATTCATGTCTGAAACAAGTTTATTTTTTTAATTGAACTTAATTTGTAGAGACGATTTTAAAAGACTTGAAAGGGTAGTTTTTGATGAATTCAAGTCTATAAAATTTGTTTCTAAAGGATTTCATTTCTCTTCACTACAATGAAATAGACTTTAATCTCAGCAAGAAGTAATACAATGGTGTGGGAAAGTATGGTAGTAATTAAAAAGATATCTAGTCGATAGATAATCATGACGTACCGTATGATACAAACTTTGCAAGTGAGTATTTATTTTTTTGAAAGAGTTAGTAAGCTTATAAGAGGTAGACATTTAATACATCGCTGCTATCGAAGAAAATGTTTACACTACAAGATTATAATTAGAAAAAATATAACATCACCTGCTATAATTCTATCATAATTTTCACCAATAGTTCAACAGACTATTTATATATATTACCAGAATCTAATTATATTTGTCTGAATGTGAGAGTATCTCAAATACAGCAATTGTCATTAGCGTATTAGTTACAAGTATAGTCTACGTTGGCATTACTAATTGCCCTATTTTTCGTAAGACAATAGCTTGGCACGCTACCGAGTTAAAGCTATTGCCATTTTTGTGCTCTTTCAATCTTTTTGCTGACCTAAAAATATCTAGCATAGCCTTTTAAGCTGTCGGTTGGAAAATCTCGACTAATCTGCTTTCTAACTACTTCTTAGAAATATGCAGTTACGTCTAGGAGATAAAACGTTCCTAATAAATAGTCTTTATCGTTATGTCTTTAAAAAAAGGTGTCAATCTTTAAAACTTATTTTAGTTTAAAATAAAGTTATGGCAACCTAGTATCTAATAGGACGGCGGTAGCTCAATTTGTAAAGCACATTGCTTTACAAATTGAGCTACCGTCGTCCGTCATTCCGTCATTTAGTTAGAAATTTTTTAATTCCTGTTATTAACGAATCTTTTGTGCTGTAACGGTGGATTCAGGGCCTGCATTATGCATCTAAATATTAATTACGTAAATTTTAAATGTAAAAATATATCTCAATGATTTAATGTTAACGGCAATCATTGTTAGAGAACTATAACCTGAACCTCGGTCTTTTGTTACAGGGTGGTTATCCAGCGAAGTTGAAGAAAGTGTTAATTGTGACGGCGCCGCTCTGGTTTAAGGCTCCATTTCGAATACTCCGGCTATTCGTGCGGGAGAAGCTGCGGGAGCGTGTGCATACAGTGAGTGCGCCTCAACTTGGAGTGCATGTCCCCAGAGCTAGTTTGCCCAAGCAGCTTGGAGGCCAGCTTGAGCCGGATCACGCAGCTTGGTTGGTAAAAGCCATTTAAATTCTAGCTATAGCAAACTATCAAAATTACAAAATTAGAAATCGTACTACGCAATAACTAGTACAAATAAATACACACAATCGAATTAGAGAAGTGTAGTTTCAAGATAAAAGATATTTCGTTCGATACAACACCTGATGATTATCTCTATTTTTAACTGACATTATATATAATTTATATATAATTAAAAGAATCGGTTGCCTAAAGATTTATAATAAAAAATATATATACAGACAATTTTACGATTGACGTAAAAACACACGACAAGGTGCTATTAAAACATCTATATACAAAAAACGGTCATTGTTTCAAACAATGAAGTTAACAAAAGGAATTAATATTCATTGTATTTCAATTTTATGTATGAAATTTCACGTCGAACAATTTATGAGAAATGTTTAGTAAATTAGCGAGGCGTGTTCCCGTTTTATTTCATTGTCAGACGAGAATCCTATTTCGCGTAAGAGTTCTACACGAATTATCCAGCGTGAATATTACCGCGTATTCCCTCGGAACGTTTCAGCGCTTTACCTGCTTATTTTCGCTTGTTTACAGTTTCCACTTCCTCCACTGTATTTATCGTATTGGTCGTATATATGGTGTTTCCTTTCAATTAATGTTTGTATTACAATTATCAATTCTAAGAAAATTGCTAAGTTAATTGTTTTAATGCGAAATACACTTAAATTTCTTTTTGTTAAAAGCTTTAAAAATAAACATGTTTAAGTGTGTTTTACCCTTATATGTTAGACATATTTACTCATTTAAATCACAGTCTGATTGGGGACGCCTAAACAAGCGTCGTTATATTGAAACAGCGAATTTACTGAGACCAAACTAGAAATCCTTATCACAAAAGCTGCACTTAATTAAGACAAATAATGTGATGTTTTGTTGTACATACACCTAGGAAAACAAATGAGATTTATAATTATTTAATCTAAAATTAAATTCTCCGATAGAAAACCATAAAAGTGTTAAAAATAATATATATTTTCATCTTCGTGATCTCTCCTGGAGCCTGCTTTTATAATAACATATATTTTAACATCAAAAAGATTTCAGGTCCTTAGCGACTCTATCCCACTAACCACCAACCACCACCTGGGCATCACCACCACACTCTACCAATTGGGCTGATGTTACGTTTTTTGCTGTTTAGTATATGTATAAATATAGTTATAATATTTTTTTTTATTCCAGGCTAGAGCATTGCCGAAATTGCTATACGAATAACCTTCATAACTCAAAATTGGACGGTGTTATCGACGAGTATGTGATCAGTAATCACATTCTGCCGGTCAAACCGCAAAATGGTAATTTCGTTGTTCATATTCACGTTTTGCGTCAAATTGTTTCAGGCAGTAAAATTATTCGTCTGTAGTAGATATATTACTCTAGTGTCAAGTGTCAACCCATTTGAAATCTAATTAAATCTACTGTTATCTTTAACTTTTGTAGTTGGTGTTGCCACATAAAATTAAATAATTAGATGATATTATAACTGTAAATATTAACGACTAAACTTAGATCTTTTTTTTTTAATTGTACTGCTTAAGAAATAAGACTTTTGTTGATGATTTAACTCTGACTTTTATTTTGTAAATGATCTGTAAAAAGACTAAATCGATTAATTACGCAATTGGGATTCGAAGCCACCACAGACAGTGTATCAATCGAGATATCGTGCTGTCGTCTATGTACGAAATATCCACCCCCTACTACCTCTGTTACTGAAATTTCGACCGTAACTGGAGCAACTTACCATCCAATTTTCAATGGCTAAGGAAAACCCCTAAAGATGAAATTACAAAGATTTAAGCACTTGAATATTTATATCTGCCAGGTTCAATAGAGACGGAGGCGGGCAGGGATATGACGAGCGACCGAGTGACGCGCCACAGCGACGCCGGCGACATCATGCATATTAGCGGAGACATGCCGTACACCTGCGATCCAACGCCTCTCAGGTATTTTCGGTCACTACGCCAATTACGAGTACTGTATAGTATTTGCTGGTATAGAAATTAGTAGACATTTTCCGATGACATAGGGCAACTAGCGGATTAGTTTACATGATCACCGATTCTAACAAAGAAAGAGGATTATTAATTCTTTTTTTAAACTAATATTTTTCTTCTATTTAGCAAAATACATTTACGCCAAAGTTAGTACTGTAGTCCACCTAAAAAGTGTCGGTTAGTCGGGGCGCAGTCGATACATCTCTATTTCTATGATACACACAATAATAAATTTCTTAAAAAATATTGTATACATGTACATGTACTTTGCTATTATACACATTACGGTTTTTGAGTTTTCTAATTAATCAATACTTTTCAGGCATACACATGTTTACAATGGAGACATTAAAGGCAGTCATATTAACTCCGGAGATGAAGATGATCTCGATTTAATAAGTAAGTACATTATCATTACCAAAGTTTCCGAGCAACGAAAAAAGGTTTACCCACAAAGTATACTGACTTTTTGGAAACATACCATGGTGGCATGAAAGTGTTCAAAACAATATTGACAGTGTCATTTTTATTTTATTTGCTTTAGCCATGTTTCGATTACAGAAAATTTAAATTGGCGTTATGCTATGACCGATAAGGCTCATTTATTGGGTATGTAACACCAGAGTTGTTATACTAAATTAATGGGTAATTTTGAGTGGAAAAATGTTGACGGTAAATCGATATTTTGTTGATTATATTAAGTCCATTACCATACTATTATTACACAAACAATTTTAAATAGGTTATTAAAAAATATTATTGTATTGTATGTTGCTAAAAATAATTCAGATGACTATCATTCTCGTTGAACTTACAGAATTACTCATTGTACATACATGAACATTTTATACTCGGGTAAAACCAATTATAATAAAAAGTTGCCGTGCACAAAAACAATTGACTTTGAAATAATAATGTTTTTTTATTTTCCTGGTAGATTTTTTTTGTAACGTAACTTTTAATATTACGAGTTTTTATTCAACTTTAATATTGAATTTGCTTCAATTTATTTTAGGAGGTAAAGTTGTGCATATGGCATATATATAAATAATTTTTATACTGTATATTCATAGTATCTTATCATACGATGAATGTACTACGATATGATAATAATTGAAGTCTTTTAAAGATTAGATAACGTTTACTAACCAAAATATATTACGTATTAGCGCAGGATATTGGAAAAATATCTTGTTTATTCGTTAAAGGACTAAAATTGTTTTGTTAAAAATCACGGTTAACGTGTGAAGTGGAAATAAGTGCGTAAAACAATAATATTTCAATTTGTGGTTGGCATAAGCGGCGCAGCATGTGTTATATTGGATTCTTATTGTTGTTGGAGCTATGTTATTATTCCAGTAGGTATTGAAAAGCCTGCGAAAATTATTTCTAAGTTAAAATCATTTGTTCATGTAACAAGGTGCACTTATGGACGCCTTATGAAATAGTGCCTTATGAAAGTAAATGGCGGATGCTTGAACAAGTAAATTTTTGTTAAAGCTCGCGGCACGTGGTCTTCCGGCGAAGCTTCGCCAGGCCTCTCGGATGAAGAATGCGGAGGTGGAGGTGCTGGAGAAACTCCCGCGGCGCTTCTGGCCCGCGTCAGGCAGTTAGGCCGGCGCGGTCTTATCGCTGAGTACGAAGACATACGGGCGCGGCCACCGCACGGTACCTTCAACCATGCCAAGTGAGTAGCTTATTGATTAGCCTATAGGTATTGACTTAGTAACATGACTATTATAATTCCCAGGAACAATAATTATTCTTTTCAAATAGCTGTCTTAAGCCGTCGTGTCTACAAATACAAATACAAATTGGTCTAGATAGAAACGTAATTAAATCAGTTGTACATATTTTAACAAGTATAATTTTAATATGTACTGGATCTCGTGTAATCGACGGACACTAGTTGACAATCTATTTTTATCCTTCACTAATAAGCTAGAAAACATGGTCAAAATCTTTAAAAGAAAGATGCCCATATAGTTGCTTACTTGTCCACTTTCACATTCAGTAATTAACTTTATTTATTTATTGTGAAACTTACATTTTTGATATATTCGAATTTAATGTATGTTTTATTATTTTAAACATTGATGATTTTGTCGTATTCGCAGATTGCCACTTAATCTAGTCAAGAACCGATATACGGACGTGCTGTGCTACGACCACTCGCGCGTTGTCTTGTCACAAACCGATCCGGATGACCCGACCACAGATTACATCAATGCTAATTATGTCGATGGTTACAAACAGAAAAACGCCTTTATATGTACACAGGGTAAGTCTGTAAATGTGTACTAGATGTAATTCGTGGTATAACAGATTCATTGAAATAATTAAATTAACTCGAACAACTGTACAAATTTTCCTTCCTTTTTTCTGGAGCAACATTAGTCTGTGCATTATTTCGGGGTAGCTATACTTTTAACTAGTCGTGTCAAATCAGTCAAGAAATTTGGGCGTTTTTAAACATCTACATATCCTTGCAAAGATTGCTTCTCAATTTTCATTATTACAAGAAATCTTATTTTTAAAACTTTCACGTCACAAATATGCGCATAGGAAGCCGTTTGCTGAAAAGTTTGTAAATTTCCGCGTGAAACCATTATTGTTTGTCCATTGTTGGGTTGGCAGGTTGCCACGCGTGCAGTTCGCAAACACGACCCCCTATTTCGAGGAAAGTTTCACAAAATTAGAATGGGGAAATTATGTGGGCTCAAGGCCATAGAATCGTGGGCGAAGTTGATTAATGAGAATTAAACGGTTAAGGAAAATATTCCTTTAATATTACAGAGGGCGTAAATGAAAGTGAAAAATTTAAGTAAAATATATTAATACTCTTAACATATCTACTATGCCAGCTGCTTTGTATTTCTGTAAAGCTGTCTATTCACTTGATGGTAGGTGATACACCCCAGCCTATAGCATGTAAACAAAATGCGCTATCGACCTTTTTTGGCGTTGGATATTCGGAAATCCACAGACTGAAACCAAGCGCGATTGACCTCTACGGCTTTTTCATTTGTTGACGGTGGTTCGTGACCCGGACGGAATTTCTATATTTCTACCATCTATTAATTATCCAGATTTCCAGACGAAGTCCATCATGTTTCCGATAGTTGTATCGTCTTTCGGTCATAGTTTAACAACTATGTAACAGCCAATGAAGCATACATTTAATTTCTTCAGGCCCTCTACCAAAAACATTTGGTGACTTCTGGAGAATGGTGTGGGAGCAAGGCAGCCTCGTTATAGTGATGACGACGAGGGCGGTGGAACGAGGCCGGGTCAAGTGCGGACAGTACTGGCCGGCGACGCTCGGCGCACGCGCAGTGCACGGCGGCTTTGCGGTCACCACGGAAGATATCGAGCAAGAAGACGACTACACAATCTCACATTTGTTGCTGACTGACTTAAGGGTATGTTACACTTATTGCTTTATTTTTTGATTAGAACAACAACAAGAAACGTTGGAGTTGGAAATAATGGTTTCCTCAATGTAAAAATGTTCAAAAGCTTTTATAACTATAAACGAAAAAGTGTATTTTGGTTGATTGTTCTACCAATCTACTAGAAGAGAAGAGGAAGAGGTATAAGAGAGTTATTGAACTTCTTTTTACAATAATACAATAAATGCTTTATCTCAATTTGTCACATTTTTTTATGTGCCAGAAACTTTACAAAAAAATTATTCCAGACGGAAGAGTCCCGAAGTATATGGCACGGTCAGTATACGCGGTGGCCAGATTATGGTGTCCCGGGTGGAGGGAGGGCACAGCCGGTGCTTCGCTTTCTGAGCCTTGTTCGACGGGCTCAACACCGTGCCAGAGCAGAGTGAGTTATTTTAATAATTAATACGACATTCGATTAAGCTAAATTAATTAATGATCTTTGCACCGCATTTTTACACAATGGGTGATATTTGAAAATAAAACAGTAAACTATAAGAGACCAACACAAATATTCTATCTACTATGTATATTTGAAATGTTCATAAAAATTAGTTTAAAGACATATGTTGTTAAAGCTTTCCTTATTCTTATGGTTACAGATTAGGAGATGCCTGGGCAGGCCACAGTAGAGGACCTCCGATCGTTGTTCATTGTTCGGCTGGCATTGGAAGAACAGGTAAATCTAATTATTAGCCAAAGAGAAAGAGATCATGACCGATGCAAAGATCCGAAATGTTGGACCGTTGTTAAAATTGTAATATATTTCGCGTTTCTTACCGTTAAAGTGTTTTATTTAAATATGTATTACTCGCGTAAACTAATAGACAGCATTTTATCTTTCAGGTACGTTTTTGACGTTAGACATGTGTACGTCGCGACTTGCGGCGGAAGGCGTTGTGGATGTGCGAGGCACAGTGGAGCGCATACGGGCTCAACGTGCCCACTCTATACAAATGCCGGACCAGTACGTGTTCTGCCACCTTGCGCTGATCGAATACGCGGTATGTATTTTTATCGACTTTTTCTATATACGCGAGATGTGCCTGTAACAATAGGCACATCTGAGCAAAGCACTTGTGGTTTCAGACCTAATTTAAAAACAATCTCTCTGTATAATATATAAATCCTTGATATTATACATAAATAAAATGTACATATGGCAGTTTTATCTAGTTGAAAGTTGTAAAAACGTGTTGCCATTATTTTATATATAAATAATAATTTAATATCAAATATGTGAAAACTTTAATATTGTTCACATGTTATTGCATTATACAAATTAAAAGTCGATTTCAATAAAAAAAAAACGACACGCTGAATTGGTAAAGCAGCACGAATGCTGTGGATGCCGCTTCAAGCCTCGTATGTGTAGATTTTTTTTCTTAAACTAAATAGAAATAGTTTTTTTAATTTATATTAAATATTTTGTCTAAAAAATTTTATATTTTTCCAGGTGATGCAGGGGTATCTAGAATCAGCTGACCTCTCTGGCTTCGATGACGACAATGACGATCAGTCGGAATGAAAACTGTCGCGTGCCGCCTGCGTTCTGCTGTGACTGAACATCCTACCCAAACCACCCATGGTCGGGTTAGATATTTACTGTCAAAATGGCTGTAAATACAGTAAGCATACACAATCCGCAAAACACATTGATACTGGAAACCTAAAAGTTATGTGAACCAGCTATACAACATACGAATAACCTATGTCCTATATTATTGTAATTATCGAATTTGCTCCATTAAATTATATGTCCCATTTCACGTAAATAAAAGTGTTGTGGAATTACTAATAAGGATTGAGATAACGCGTGATTACTTATGACCGGTAAATGATAAAAATATTAGGATTTGGGAATTTATTTCTTGCCATTGAATTTCGCATCAATGTTATTGTTATATATAAAATATACAGAATATTACTGATATTAAAATTGTATCTTAATATTGTCTAAATGTTATCTTGAAGCAAATTCATTCACGGGTGAATATGTGTTAATGCAACGATGAAATTGTATGTTTCCAAAAAAGATCTGATACAAAAATGTTATTAAGCACAAAAGGTTTGTGTTCATTTAGAGTGCGACAGATGTTTGGCTTTAAATACATCCCAACTGTGTTTTTTAGCGGCCACAAGGCTTCAAATCCAAAAGTAATAGAAAGGAGAATGCTTTCTATCCACAGTGTCCCAAGCCTTCGCTAAAATTAAGAATTGTTATTTATTTTAATGACATGTACAATAACATATATTTTAATGCCAATTCTCTTTGTTCATTGTCTGCTTTCAAATAGCATCCTCTGTAAACTTCAGTGTACATAAAATTTGTCTATTAGCCCCTTCATAATATTGAACTTATATCGTGACTCGTTCATAAATGGAGATGAGCTTTCATATCCTGCCATATTGATTTAGGAATAAGATAATTGCAACGTGTTGGGCATTTACGTCATCTGCTAGAATATATCCTATTACTTACGCAGTTGGCAGTATGTCGAAATATGTGTAATTGATTTCCTTCCTAATCAAAGAAAGAAAGGTATTAATGTATTAGAACCCTTTTTGAAAGCAAAAAAAAAAAAAAATATTATCTGGCAAGGTTACTTAGGTTTTTCCAGCTGTTCTGCTTCTGAAGATGGTCGAATCCATTTTTTAATTACGACAGCCGAACAACTCAAAAACCCGAGTACATTTAATGGAAAATATTCAATTTAATAGTAAACTGGAGGGCATACGATTAATTTAACAATTATAGACATAATAAGGTTCCTATAGCGTGAAGAACTGAGTAGATCACTTGATATTTATCGACACGAAACCCAAAGCACACAATAGTTATCTCGCTCCATTTAGATGTATTTTATTTATTGGTATAAGGAAGCATGGCTGTGTTGAGAAGTATCGGTATTTGTATTTATAATATTTATACACAGTAATCGTTTTTTGTGAAATGATTCGAAGTGCTGGTTGGTTTCATTCATCCATCTAAAGATGTATTAGTTTTCCCACTTTTAATTGAACTGTCCCATCGCACTTAATTATAATCGTGTATATAGACTGAGTATTATTAATTTGCTAACAAAACTATAGAAAATCTAGCTTTTTCGTGAGTACATGATTTGTTTCTAATGGACTATCAAAATGGAATATAGTAAAATGTATCTATTGCGAGAGGTATAATTACAATTATATAATATATCAGAAAGAGTAAATTATTTTTCAAATGGAATATTAGCGACATATCTATTGGCCACAAAACAAACCTATATTTTGATCGCCGTCCCAACGTGCCACGTACATATCTAATAAATACGAATGTATTTTCTTAAATGTTTCTAATCTTTTCTTTTCTCAAACGATAGTAAACTGCTTGTAATTGAGGGTAAAGTAAGCGTGTTAAAAATAAAAGTTGTTCACCTAAACGAGTTAATAGAGCGCTGTCTCTTTCCCACAAATCCACACAAATAACAAGGACGCAAGAGGGCGTCAACTTTATTCCTATTAACTCGCATCGGCGAAAAGACTAAACGCTTACGCTATCGTCACTTGCATATGTATCCGCTTGATATAGTTCCGTTGCCGATTTTATAATTGCTATGAATACGTCGCGCCTTGAAGTGCCCAAGAAATGACCAGTGAGAATCTTACTCTTTGTATGACATATGTATAAAAATGATTATTACGATGTTGATGTTATTTTTATGCTAGGAAATTCTTTAATCAACTTATTTATCCTAGATGTACTGTTAAGATCTTATGTGAATACTCCGAATAGATAGACCGTTACGATATATAGAACAATTCACTGTCAAAGCGTTTGTGTTTTATGATAATTATCGTTTAAGAAAATTTGTTAATCTTCTATCTATCTGTTGTTTCTTCTTGTACGTGTAAATATTTTACCGATTCCTTTAAGGTCTAAATTAAATTCCCTTGTGAAATATGTGTGAAATAATAATACTTGTAATATATTTATCGGCAGCGTTTTTATTTTTGACTAACCATACAGACGATAATAGGTATTTATAATATTACACCGAAAAAGTTATACACCGAGGACGGATGTATCATTGCCTCTTACAAATAGAACTGGAGGCAACTCTTTACTTAACACTTCCAACCACGTCATGTAAAGGGCAGCTGATACCGAATTCTGGGGAAAAATTTGATTTTAGATATTTCTATATTACTTATATCTTACATATTTATAACGCATACTACAGAAAAAAAAAATGTGAGCCGTCACGGAACGCCTGGCAGATAATAATGGCGATGTTTCACACATCGCCATTATTTTGTAAAAGTAATGTGCAGAAAAGAACATATTGTGATAGGAACTAAATATGTCATAATGATAAAATAAAATATTACGATTGCGCATGGCGACGCGTCGCCACACCGTACACACTACTGCATATAGACTATATATATATATACCATCGTATAGCGTGGCGACGCGTCGCCACGGCATGCGTCGCCACGCCAGAAATTTTTTAGGTTGTACGTGCGGCTATAGATGTTTCACATCAAAAAACACATAAAAAGAGAAAACATCTTACATATTAATTTCATTTTTTTTTATAATAGAGAAGGACAGATAAGCATGGGGTTTATATGATGTGAATGGTAGGTGAAATACCTCAGCTATATAACATCGAAAGAAGTTGCGTTGTCGACCTATATTATATCTAATATCCATATTTCTAGACGACGTCCAACATGTTGCAGAAAAATTATAAATCGCCTAGAAACATATTGCACATGTTTGGGATCGAACCGTTGATTATTAGCCATATATAAAACAGACGAGCCTCTTACGACCACGGTGAGGATCCGTGACCACGGCTGCTGCGAAGCATCCGAAACGTCGGGCCGTAGTTAAAATAGTTTTCAAATAAGTTCAACTTATATATATATTTCGTTTAAAACGTTAGACTTGTATTTATATATACTCACTTGTCTAGGCATTGGAAGAGAAATGACAATTAGGGAGGCATTTGAAGAGTGTTCAATGAGCAGCTCTCGCAGGCGAAGATGCCTGTGTGTTTTCTGTTCAAGTCTTTCTAGTTCGGCATCAGATATCAACACATCTGTAATATGACTTGAATCGTCAATTCATCCAGAAGAAATGACTATTCAAGGTTTGATAAAAGATAATTTGGAAATTCAGGGAGGGTCGTCACCCCCATGAACCCCCATGGCTCCATCATATTTACCACTTTCGTTGTCAGTTCTGAAAGGTTGTATCATCGAATTAAACATATCTACGGTTTCTGGTCGAGGTGGCTCGTGCAGTCCTTCGATCATGGTTAACGATGTGTATTCTACTCTGAACCTATGCAAGAGGGCTTCCATGCTGTAAAATCATTTTTTTCTTATCTATACCATGTACGTAGCTCATTCAAGGTTACGAATGCTGTAATTACTTTGAAGTAAAAACAACCACAGAATAAAATTATAAAACCTCCTTTAAGTAACAGTTTATTTAAATTAAACATATCGTTCGTAATAATAATTCACGTCGTAGCATCGTCGTAAAATAATTTAAAATTTTTAACTCCTTTGCTATTTATTTTATTTTTATAACACTTTTTCTAACAGTTTATAAAATTAAGCTTAAACAAGAATTAAGGGTTAACTAGAAATGAGAGCTTATCGATTAATTTTACTAGAGATTTAAAAGGGGAAATTATAAGTCTAGCCACAAAATTGTTTATTGGACACGTGGTTAAACTTCTAATTTTATAACTAAGCAACGGGAAAATAACATAGCCTCTAATAAACTGATTCGTCTTTTTTACAACGCCAACTAAATATTGTATAGAAAGCGTCAAGTAAAGATCATCAATAATTGTCACAATTATTGATGATCCTTTTCATTGATTTGATTTTTGATTTTCCTTCTCATTTATATATTGCCATCTAATTTACTAACTCGGCCATGGATTTTACATCTCGTCACCATTTTACGTTTTACAACTTCAACGCAATGTCCTCAAAAAAATATAATTCAAGCTTCTACAAAAAACATCATTTATTATAACTTACCATGTAAAATAATATATCATATTCTTTTATCGTGAAAATAGCCACTGCATGATGCTTTGCTGCTTCAAAGTCGTTCTTGAAGAAAGGGAAAGACCAAAAAGCATTCCTAAAATATTTTAAAAAAGAATGGCTAATAAAAAACCCTAATTGATATTTGGGTGCAGCACCAATATCACCAGCGACGAACAACGCACTCGATTCTTTTAATAGAGTTATAAAAGACCACAACACTCTCCGCGAGCGTATACCGTTGGCCCGTTTCCTTGTGGTGGCAGAGGAAATGGTTAATAACTGGTCAGTACAAGCAACAGAAGAAAAATTTGCGACACAACCTCAATTGCAGTTATCAGATTGGACAACAGGATATCAATGGGCGAAAACTGATACCAAAATTAGAGTTGTACATTCAACACCAGCCAGCACCACATATTTAATTCCAGGCAACAACTCATTCAAAATTGATCAAGCTGAGAAGACTTTCAGGTGTTTTGACGAATACAAAAAAGTGTTTTTTTCATTTTGGAACGTAATACTACCGAACAATCAGACCGAGTGGATTACTGGTTGCTGTGATTGTCCTGACTTTTATCGCAAGTACAGCTGCAAGCATTTGATGAGCCTTGCCATCAGACTGAAATACGTGACGCCTCCATTAGAGGCAAAGTCACAACCACTAGGATTAAAAAGAAAGCGTGGAAGGCCAACAAAAGCGCGGGCTGCGTTAATAATCCAATAATGGTTTAATTTCCTTTTTTGATTAGGTACCGACTACATTATTTTTATGTTCCTATTATTTACTATAAGTCAAATTATGGTAATTCAATAAACAAATTGATTTTTCAAAAATAAACACTTTTATTTTGTCTCTCCTCAATAGCTTCTGGTAATATTAGTGGCCAATATATTAACATTTAATGTCAATTTTGCCAAAATTTTGTCGTTCAATTAATATGGGATGAGTTACATTTTAAATGTACTGAGTTAAAAAATTAGAAGCTAAATAAATATATTTTTTGATATCATTTAATAGTATTTTAGAATTTCGCGGTATGAATGCATGTTATAAATTTAAATGCTAAAAAATAACCATCATGCTGAATTGTATTTAGAGTGGTTTACATAGAAGATAACTAGTGGCTAAGATAGTATTATTTAGATGCTCGTTAAATGTGGCTGACTTAGTAATTTAGAAGGCAACATACATTTTTGGAGGCGAATAGTGATATTAAAAAGAAGCGAGTTTAATTAGCACCCATTTAAAAGGGGCTTTTGAGTTAATATAATTTTAAAAAAATGTTACCGTGCTTCCACATCATCTAATCTGTGACAACTCCTTGCAAGTGCAAATATCCTGAAAGGCATTTTCTCCCGGAATCCTCTTATCGCTATTATATAAGACAGAAGCACGTTTAGTCCCCCATCGTCATATAACCACCAGCTGTCTAAATTACTTTCCTGTAAAACATACTAAAGCATATATTGGCCAAAATAAAGACCTTTGCGTAAAGTAGCCTATATTTAAATACAACACTTTAACCGTTTAAAACGCGATATATTAGTTAAATTTATTTGAAAATTATTTTCAACTTCGGCCTGACGTTTCGGATGCTTTGCAGCAGCCGTGTTCACGGGGAGACTAAAGATGGAGGATGTCTGACGTCAAGGTCAAAAATTGCTACGCTACCGCTGTTTTCTCCGTATCTCTGTATCTGTTCCGTCGAAGTTGGTATTTGGCGAAACTGGCCGGGTTCTTACAGAATTGACTAACGGTGTCTTCGCGTTTGCCAGTAAGCTGTTTATTGGGATTCAGAGTTTTTAATATGGGATCCCAGGTATTTGTAAATTATAATTTGAGCCGTCCTCCCTATTGAAATTTGGAAACGTCGGGCCGAAGTTAAAAATCATTTTCAAATAAGTTTAACTAATATATCGCCTTTTTAACGGTTTGTTAAAGTGTTTTATTTAAATGTGTACTACTCGCGTAAACTATAGACAGTATTAAATATGTAAAGTAACTGAGATTCTTTTAGACCACGTAAATAAAATTCTTCGTAGTAGCAAGTTAGTGAGAGGCATTTTCGTTAAAAACAATGGATCATAAATTTATTGACCCCATGACCTTTATACGGAAAATGGAATTTCACAGAATAATAATACCCAGTAAAATCTATTTCCAAACATACCTCGTCTAAATTTAAAGGACCATAAACGCCAGATTTGGTTATAGATCGACTTGGAGGAACATTGTGTTCCTCAAGCGGATGAACAGTGGACTCGTGTATCTCAGGCATTCTTCCCCCTTCTGTAAAGTTTAGCCAGAAATCTGAGCTTTTATCGGATAGTTAATATATTCCAATATAATGAATGAAAGAGAAAAGACCAACAGCGCACCCTGGATTTCGTATAGAGCTTATCTATCAAAATATTATTTATATAATTTGACTTCTAAGATGAAGAAAACCTTACTAGTATTAAGACGGAAAAACAATGTTAGATTCAACAATATTCATTTATAAGACAGAATTTGCTTTGCCGCCAAAATGCGCGCCTTCTCCCCTATTTGACAGTTGCCAAGCTCGTGCGGGGGCGCGTGTGTTAAACGAGTCGCACTAGTGTTATGTCGTTTTCGCTAAGTCGGAGAAGTACTTATAACACTAAATAAAACAATTACAATTTTTAGACACAAATTATACGTCGGGTCATAAATAAAAGATATGTGTACACGAGTGCCTTTTGAGACAATATTAAAAAGAAATTGTTTAGTGTGTTAGTGTTTTGTTTAAGTATATATTTTTTGCTTAATAAAACTACTTGTACAAAACTTATACACATGTTAAGTTTACCATCAGCAGAGTCCTCAGTTTTAATTATGATTTCCATATTAGAGTCCGCGTGCATGACGTCGAGCACTTCGGTGTGGACTTCCGCTTCCACGCTTGATGGACTAGCATGGTGCCTTGATTGTGCTCGAAGCCTGTGCATAGCTCTCGGTACTCTTAGAACAGCGACTGCAGTTTGATTATCGAAAGCTATTCTGGAATAAACAACCGTCTTTTAGAAAGTCGAAGTCTAATTCTTCGTCGGGCAGACTGTTACTTTAATATGGCCTTTTATTTCTACCACCAGAAAAGTGACCGCCCGTTTCCCCCTCGTGGGGCATGGGGCGAACACATTTCTGTGTCCGTTTCATTAATTTGTTCTTTTAACGGGCAAGTAGTTGATCAGACTTCTGTGCCCTGTCCGACCGAAACAATTTTTTTGTTTTCCTGTGATTCGAAGCCAAGACCTCTGGCGCTCACCGCAATGCTAGGTAATACGTTTAACCATTTGGCTACAGAGGCGGTCTAGCACGGGAGCAGTACGCAATTTGGAAGTTTTAAAATTGGAAAGGTTTTATCACCACGGTGTTTTGGAGAGCAAGTGACAATGTTCGCGTCGGTCCCGTTTATCATCAATGGACCACCATCTCTGTAACCCTTTATTACAGGATATATAAGAGTCGCATGGGAAACACGCTTATACTATTTGTTTAAAGGATTAAAACACATTTTACATTCAAACATTAAAATAAAACACTTTTAACGGTTTAAAATTGAATATGCAATTCATAGTCTCCTAGTGATTACGGTTGTGCTAAGCATCTTAAACGTCAGGCCTTAGTGGGAATTTGTAAACTTTAAACTTTAACTTTTTTAAACCATTAAAAATGTTTTATTGAAATGTGTACTACTGGCTACATGTGGATAGACTGTAATTTTATTTACGTATATAACATTCAGATGTATGTAAGTTTAAGTAAATACGTACTGGATCATTTTCACGTAATCTTTCAGTTTATTTAGAGGAGCATTCACCCAACTGCTCTTGTAACCAATGAGCAGTATGTTAGGTGTCAAGCGGCCCAGACCCGCACTTTGTAATAAAGTTCTGACGCCGTCTTCCAAGGAACAACCGTCAAGAACAACGAAAAACCCTCGTTCCTTGCGCGAGTGTAACCATTCCTCACCTAATTCTTGCTGTGTTATTCTGTTAGTATATGACATGTATGTCTGTAATAAGATTCGCAAGATTAATTAACAAAACGATGTAAGATTTTGCATTTCACAAGTGTTAATAGAACGTAATAAAACTTACGTATCATCGAATGAAAAATATAACGTGAAAAGTAACCCTTGACGTGTATTCTAGTCATAACATTAAGTAAAAGTTATTTAATAATAGCTATTTAACAAAAACAACACCAAAAAATCACCTTTCATTTTTACCCATTTTGGCCAAAGTGAAAGGTCCGTAAATTCGAACTTCGGAATAAACTATTATTTCATTCAAGGCACAGAAGTTAGATCAACGACTTGTATGTGTACCCAATGTTTATTCCATGGCGTAGCAAGGGAGGCAATAATTTCAATGAATATTCGATACTAGCTAGTGCCCGCGACTTCGTCTATGCAGGATTAGTACTTGGAGTAGCTTATATTAACTTGGCGTAGAAAAGAACTAACATTATGACATAAACATGTGTAACTAACTGTTTTTTCTCATAGTAACTTGACACTTAATGTCATATTTTGGACAGCTCGCACAATACCTTTATAAATTGTAGCCTATGTGTTATTCTGATGTATAAGCTATTTTTTGGAACTTTAATTGAAATCCATTTAGTTGTTTTTGCGTGAAAGAGTAACAAACATCCATCCACACATACAAACTTTCACGTTTATAATAATAGTAGGATAAACCTCATTGATATGAGCGATTATCATAAATGATCCAGTCTTCGTTATCAGATGTCCCAGATCCAGCAATGCGGGACGGACAAAGGGGCTGCCGGCCATCACCAAGAGCTGAGGGTTGTACGACTTAACATTTTCCGATATGTAGCACATTTGTACGAGAGATGACACGAGCTCTTTATATCTTTGGGCTTCTGTACTGCTTCCCCAATTTACGTCTAAAAACGTATGTATTTAGTGCAGTAGTGGGGGTATCAACCTACTACAACTTACATTGTTAATATATTTTTTTCATGAGCTACAATACGTAATAAAAAAAAAACCCCCGTACAACTTTTAACTTCCCCCTTCTGAAAAAGTAATTTAGGGAAATTCCTTTTTTTTTTCGGGAAATCGCTTCTTTTACACCCCCCACACGGTCGCCTAAGACTACTATGTAATGTCATGTCAAATAACCTGGTTTTCTGTAGAGCACTATGAGATAGAGAGTGAGGAAAATAAATATCGTAATTAGAGCCATCGTCCAGCTGATAATCATCATGATGGATATGCACATTACAAAACCCAGTAATGACAACCACCTGTTGTAGTACTGAAACAAATAAGAGTAGAAAGGTTAAACAGTGAAGGTTCGCTCGTAGATAGGGTAACACATTGCTATATGCATTTTTACTGATCGCTTTTATTGATTGGCAAGATAGTGCCCCCAAACATTGTTTGATTCGAACCCGAAAGCGTGATACAACTGAGCCTTAAATGTAGAATAATATAATATAGTTATAGATATAATAAAATGAAGTTTGGTGTACTTGAAAGGACGGTCTCCAATTAATCGACATTACCAGGGCAGCATGGAAGGTGCAGAAATTTATAAGCGCGTATGAAGCTAGATAGAAGTTGGTAATTAATGGCGCTATCGTATTTAAATCCGCTGAAAGCATAAAAGTATAATCTTATGGATATGTTCAGAACTAATCAATAGACTTAGCATCGCTAAACTATATATTCAACAAAAAAGCTATCGGTTATATATAGAAACTTTTAACGGTTTAAAATGCAAAACATGTTTGTTACTTATATACTTTCAATTAATTTTAACTAGGAAACAATGATTAACGAGAGGACCGTGAGTAAGGAATAGATTCCCGCAATACCAATCACAACAAACAGATGGCGTAGCATAACAGATTTGACTTTGATATTAGCGACACTTCCCAATATTAATCCCAATGTGACCACGCCCGTAGCAAAGCATCCGAAACCTAGTTATTTTTTATATAATTTTAAGAAATAAGTTAACTAATATGTTTTGCATTTTAAAGCGTTATAAGTGTTGAATTTGAATGAAATTTGAACACATAACTTGAAATACTTTGTGCCGTGTGTTTAATGGTGGTACCATTAAACACTCTTCATTTACTTATATATTCTAGTATCTAGGAAACATAATATTGTATTGGGTGGAATAAAGTATTTTTTTATTTATTTATTACAAAGAGGCTTACGAACTAAATACTAATAAAAGTTTTTACCAAAAAGCAACTTACCATAAATTTATGAGATGTGACTATTAAGTATTTAAAATTAAAATTATTATACGTTTAAATACTTATATAAAAATTACACTACGATGGAAATTGCATTGACTTACCAATGAGTACAAACAATAGAGACACGATGAACGTTAAAACGTAACCACGGTAAGGCTCGCCGTACCTTCCGTATGGTTTGGAAAAGAAGATGAGTCCTGGATATATACGGTCTACTCCCAGGGCTTGGATCAGTCGTGGAACTGATAGCAGGTTGGTTAAAGCCGTGGATAGGGTGGCTGCCCAACAACCGGCATAAATTATAGCACTGGATAGAGCCATTAATTGCATGATCTATTAACAAAGATTATTGAAGAATACATAACAAAACACAAAAGTTACATCTTATAAGAGCACTTTACTTAGACGAATACATCATTTATTTAGGAATACTTTTATGTAAGTAATATTATTAACATCGATTTAAACGTTTCTCATTCTAAAAATGTCATTGCATTGCACTTATATACCATAGGGCAGACATATTTCTGTGGCTGTTTCAAATGTTTTGAGCATTCTTCTCGCGCTTAACGTAATGCTAGGTTTTTAAATTGAGCTCCGTGTTTTATATCTACGGAGCCGTTAAAGAATTCATATATAAAAGATATAAGTTCTAGAATCAAAAAGAATGCAATGGATACCCCATAATTATTATGCAAGCCATACGGACAGTTTGGTTTGCAAGCGTCAATAGTGGCAGTTTCAAAGTCAGATGGATTTCCGCTGGCGTCTCTCAGGGCACCAACACCGCAAAGCACGGCCATCAGCAAATAGGTTGTTATTGAAATACCAAGAGCCATCAATGTACCCTTGGGTATTGCAGTTGCTGGATCCTGAAGTAATAAGAGAATTGATATAATAATCATTTCAATTCAAAAAATATATATATATAGACGAAAATGATCTAATCTAATTTATCGCTGGAGTGAAGTGAAATTCAGTTTCCACTTGTGGAGGATGGGGAAGACACATTTCTGATTAGATTCAGATGGAATCAGACATCTGCTTTTAAAGCAATCATCATCTGCTTTTAGTACCTACTTTCTCTAGATTCGAACTCAGAACCAGGATTATAACCCGCTTAACGCGTTACTGAACTACGGAGGTTGTTAATTTGTAGTTATAGGTAATAACCTTCAAATCGCCGCAAATATTAGCACCTGCTTGAACTCCTGTGACAGCTGGAAAGTACATAGCGTAGACTGAGAAGAAATTGTGCTCTCGGTTGTCGAAGCGAAAATCTGGCATTAGATTTTGTGCGGCCGTTGCAGCTGAAACAAAATAATTTACCTACTCTTTCGCTATACCTAAATTTAGTTCTACGTAAATTAATCACACTTGCATATAGATTTTATCAAGCAGATGTATCTGTACATTAGATGGTTATCTGTTTAGTGGGTTCGAGTCCCGTTGTGTCGTACTTTCATTTATAATGTAAATACATACTAACCGTTTATACCTACAAAACCTTGAGCCTTAGCAGTGACGCTCATAGGACCAATCAAAACTCCTAATATATAATTAAAAATTGCTACTACGATAATTGTTATAAGAAAATTCTGAAACAAAAAAAATATTGAAAAATACAAAGTTTTACGACGTGCTATGTACGAAGAAATAAATTGAATTTTCGTCACTAGGTGGCAGGTCAAAATATCCCGGACCTTCTGAATAAGATTCATCAAGAACCTATTTTGAATTTAGAGACTTTGTCTTTTATTACACAGCTTTTTCATCTAAGGTCGTTGGTTCGTGACCCGTTATATTTTTGCCACCTGCTCATTTAAGTTATTATCTTCAGATATTCTAGTATATGGTTTCAGTACCTATTTCGAAAAAGTATAATAAAGACATCCAGGACCCGGTAGGTATCGGACCTACGACCTATTGGTTTTTAGTATTGCTAATATTAAACAAAGGGACCCAATCATTAAGTTAATAAAAGAATGCTTAGTATATTTTTTCGACTTGCTCGTAACGTCAAAATCAAATAAAAACCTGAGTCTTTGTTTCCCAGTCCATACCGAAAGCGCATATTAAACACATGACAAACAAAGCTATCGCGCCAACGATTCTTATATCGTTAACGTCGTTATCAACTATTTTCAAATTGTATGATTTGAGCAACTCGTTCAATGATTCACAGAATCCGATTGTATTCATGCTGGCTGCTACTGCATTCGCAAATGCGAACATGATACCCACTGATGCTCCGAGCTCTGCTCCAAGTGATCTCGATACAATGTAATACACTCCACCTAAAAAAAAATATTATTACAAGAAAACAAATTTTAGAACAGACTTGTTTAAATCACCCTGAAATATTTCTTAAGGCAATGAACACGATAAAATTAAATGAAATCATGTTTACCGGGCAAAAGGAGTTGGGGCACCGCATTGCTGTGTTTTTAATTGATTTTATTTACAGGCAAGTATCAAACTAATACGGCCTATTTAACAGAGACTATTATTTCTATTTATTATTACTACTCAGCCTTAGGACTTTTCATATTTTCTGGCCTTGGCTGAAATAGAAGAAGTACAGAAAGGACACTCTTTAGTTTAAATAAAACACTTTAACAGTTTAAAACTCGATATATTTGAACATAACTTATTAGAAAATAGACACTGTGTCTCCCCGTGACCACGACTGTTGCAAAGCATCCGAAACGTGGGGTAGAAGTTAAAAAAAATATTTTCAAATAAGTTTAACTAATATATCGCGTTTTAAACCGTTAAAGTGTTTTATTTAAATGTGTACTTCTCGCGTAAACTATTAATAATAATAATATTCAATATATAGAACGTTTCTATTACCAACACTTGGGCTATACTGTGGAGACTAGTGTCTAGTAGGATCTAATATAAATTTAAAATCAAAATGACGGTAAAACGGTTAATAAACTAAAATTATTATGTAATACCTCCTTGTAGTTCCCCATTAGTACATATTGCGCTTAGAGACAACGTTGTTATGATACAGACGACTCCTGACAAGCAGATGATGGCTATGGTGAGACCAATACCCGCTTGAGCCACGATCCATGCAATGCGCAAGAACAGCATAACACCCCAGATGTTTAATAGGCATGGTATTAAAACCCCCTAGAAAGTAATTTGCTTTGGGTTTATACCAATTAAAAACGGAGCTACAAACCCACTTTCAGAGACTTATTCTCAGAAAGTGGGGTAGACGATACCCAACTACCACGTTCTTCTAGTAAGAATTGACGTTGAAGGACTACGACTACATACTAATATTTTCTTTAAAAAATTTCAAGAGTCACTGGACCAATAAGGCAGATAAACATTAAGAAAAACCTTATGTGTTAGAACATCTTATTTCCCTGCTGTAGCATAGTTGATAGGACATCTATCCTATTGTGTCTCTATGAGTCTTTTCAATGATATAATATTAACATTACCTGTATCCATCCCAACTTAATATTATAAGTCCTTAGTTCGGGTGTGGGGCTTTTAACTTTGTCATCGTCGTTTTCCTGAAAGCGTTTCCTTAATAAGCTTTGAACTTTAAATACACATATTTAATACCTATATAAATAACAACTTAAACAATGGATATTTTGATATCACTAGACAACATTTAAGATTAGATAAGTTTGCTTTACAAACGAACCTATTTAGGAATATATTAACAATATATACTAAGGTTAAATTGGAACCATTAAAATATTATTACATATAAATTCCAATTTATTTAGCATCACTGACCTCGTCTCTTAGCGCTGTCAACGCAGAGTTTTTCAAGTTTCTAAAACCTAATACTTCCGTTATCCTTCTGCCGGTTCTCGTGTCTAAGGAATTTCTTTATTTGTAGCCACTTACATTTTTATAACAAATTAAATTAATTTAAGTATCACAAGGGTTCTAATACTATTTTAATGATCATGGCAGCGTCTGATAAGCAATACGCTAATAAAGTATTCAATAAGCAAGTAGGTAAATAACACGAGAATTGCTAAACGATTCCAATATGAAATCGCCGAAAGTCCTGAGACATATAGATGTTTAACTTCCATCAATTATCAAAATACTGGAATTTAGGTCCCTTAATTCCAGTAACATTATAATATATAGCAGGTATTGAAGCCTCGACCGACTTAACATCGCTGTACCAGCGGAGGTAGGTCTATCAAAATAATTTGACTGGCTTATTGATTCAGTGGTGGTACAGTAAACCAACAAATCTTGCGTCCTTATTTGGTCTTAATCTCACCGGCTCCAGAATGTTTGTGAATAATTTATAAACATAATTTAAAAATCGAAAATAAATTGAAAAAAAATTTCGACTCGGTCAGGACTTGAACCGGCATCGTCAGCGTTCCGTGCTGTTGCTCTACCGATTAAGCTACAGAGTCAATGTCGGGAATGTTTTCAAATTTATAAACATGTTAAACACATCGACTGAGATAGTAATAGTGGTAGAAATATCTATAGGGGTTCATACGGTGTTCATTCGTGACCATGCGGGTTTTGAGCCACCCTACAGATTAAAAAGCCCTGAGGTGGTATTATGCGTTTCAGTTTCAGTCTATGATTTTCCACGTCTAAAGTCAAAATAGGTCGACAGCAAAATACAGAGATATCTGATATTAGGTTTTAATGGCTGGGATATTTCACGCTCGATCGAGACATTTATGTCATACAAATTGGTAGATTCTACTTCTAATTTTTGTTTATCAAACAATTCTCACCATCCTCATAATAAGGCATTAATTGATCTCCAACTTCAATAGCATCTGTATCCATAACCCACTTTAATTAAATATAATTATTTCGCTCATGAACCAATTATAAAGTCTGCAAACGCACTGCAGATATCTTGCCTTAACTGACAAAAATTGCTTTTCGCTGGCTGAAGATCAACGACTTCAGAATGACCTAATATGAAGGCTCGAGTCACTAATTTGAGTCTTTAATTGCAGCTCATTGATGTTGGTTACAATAGATCGTAACAAACCATAATATTGTGGTACGCATTGTTTCTTTTCCTTCGTCAACTGAATCCGGTTGAATGATATAAGGTAAGTACAGTATGATTGTTGAAAAAGAATAACTTTAGATCTATAAACCTACTCATAAAATGCATTTCTACTCAATTCATACATATATGAGGCCCCGAGAGGCAGAGTAGCCTAACTGCAATTTTGTCTTGAGTTATTTATACTTTTATAGTCTAAAAATGTTAATCTACAAGAGCATAGTAACCAAAATTTTTTAAAATAATTCTTACACAAATTATAGTACAAATTCATTTTCGCCTAAGTTAATTGCGCAAAATACACATTATTTTAGTTTTCCTCCATATTGAAAATCATGCTTTTTGTAATTAGGCCACTCTAGCAGCCTTATATTTAAGGACCTACAGTGGTATTGTGTGTATATAATATATTCCGAATGAAAAGATGAGTAATTCAAAATACCTATTTTTATTTGGAAAAATGTTACGAACTTATCCGCTTCGTTTTTAGAATAATAGACAATAAGTATTATAAATACAGTACCTGCTTATGAATGCTACCGTACACAGGAAAACGTAACAACGAGATTTTAAATGTAAATATATTGTGTCTTCTGTTTGAGGTCATTTCATTCATACATCTAGATTTTACCTTCACACACAAACATATCTTTCTACCTTGTCTTTGAATTAGATTAGACGGAGTAAAATGGAGTCTTTACCTTATGATTGTGCCACACATTTACAACATCTAATTATTGCGCTGTCGACCTTTATTCTTCGATATGTTAAAATTCTCAGACTGACATCCAATTACGAATTTACACTTTACGGCTTTACATCATTATTGCCACATATTCCTTAATTTTTAAAAACGTTGGGTCTAATATGATTAAAAATTAAAAGGAAGCAAGCAGTTTACAAACATGCTTTCCTACCGTACTACCAGTTCACCAAACAGCCTGTCAAATTATCAGGATTATTGCAAAAAAATCTTGCTTAGACTTGCTCTCACGCTACCTTCGTGTTTAAAAGAAATCATCTTGCAATATATATAGGTAATTCTTCGACGATTTTCTTTTCTAGAAACTTAAATCGTTGCTTCCTAGCAACTACATATTATCATTAGCATAGATTCTATATGATTGATTTCTGTATTTGTTCAAAGTCACTGAATACTTCCAGCTATTTATGTCAGTCTTCCAATCTTTTCTTTCAAATTACCACAGACAAACTTATGTCTTTTAAATTGTCTATCGACTTTTATTATATTTATTGTCAGAATTTTACGCAAATATATACTGTTAGTAACAGGTGGTTATGAGAAAAATATAAATAAGACAACGTATTACAAATAATTAAGTAGATAATATTTTATTTAAGAAAATCAATGTCTTTCCACAGATAATATAAATTGTAGTTTACATTTATAAAATAAATTTAATACCTACTTTTGAGATAAAGTCGAACATTAGATCACTTCTTATGGTATAACTAATAATATAAGCAATATGGACTTGTACTTAAAAAGTTTTTACTAAAAATCTTTCTATTATTAAGTTATCATTTTTGTGATTTGGTCAGTTAGCCATTATTTTTACAAAGTTAAATACTAATACAGAGCAAGTGATCTGCCTAACTGGCACACATTGGAAGAAGGCCTTTAATATTAAATTTCTATAATAAAAACATAATAATTCTCAAAACTGACCATTCTTCCAAATCGTGGAATTGTTATACTAAAGTTATTCGATTTCGTTTAAGAGTCAAATATACATTTCTATTGATGCTAATTAGTTCAAACTTTTTATTTGTCGCCAGTTAAAGAGGTTATAATAAATAATTCTATAGTATGGAACGGGACTGTTTCTTTGCCATATTCTATTTCGTATGAGATTGGTGATAAACACTAAGGTAAAACATTAAGTTTTAATTGACTTTGGTGTAAAATACGATTCTAATACAAAATAAATAAGTACTTTGCTTCGAAAATAAAATTTGTTCCATGTAATTTTATCATAAGTACTAAGTTAACATAAAAATACTGTATTGTTAAGATTACGTGAAATAAATAACAAAAATAACACTAATTAACAAAGGCACTATTTCGTTTCTAAATTATTATGATAACAATTATGATTACTATTTATGTAAATTGTGCATTGTATTTTGTACATGGCTAGTTAGATACACGTATTATCCATTTATAATCTGTATAAATACCAAAAACATTTAACTTCTTTCTGGTAGAATTTGAAAGAAGTTTCTATTTTAAAAAAGTCATCTTATTCTATTTCTGCTATGATTATAAAAAGTTCTAACATTACCTTATTTTAATACTATCGTTGATATCTTTCCACTTAGCTTTGTTCGTATCGGCGTAGAAAACTATTACAATGTGTTACTTACTTCTTAATATTAACTATTATTTTTATTTCATTACTTCATACTAATTATGCGTACGTACACGAAAATAAATAACTGTAAATGGAAAATGCTTGTTGGATCATTTTCGATTATGAGTAAAATGTAAGTACAGATGTCTGGTTTCCCCTGACGAATAGCATCGGTGGGAGATCTCTACTCATCATTTCCAGCCAAGACATGTAGAGGGGAGCGGAGACCGAACCCTGGGGGAAAAAGGAAATTATTCAAATATTCTATGCGCAAAATACGAGCAGACTAAAATGTACCTAGATTGTGCTTATATCGTTTGAATGTTTTAATAAACGAGGAATACAATTTTAAACTTGTAATTAATTTTTGGAACAGATAGAAAAATGTTTTGTGAACGATCGGAGGGGTCTTCGATATAAATTTAATGATGGCTTTTAATATACTAATTTCATTACTGATATCATTACCTTTCTAGGCATCGGTAGAGACATAACGACGAGGCGGGCATCCTTAGAATTGGTCAATAGCAACTCCCGCAAGCGAAGTTGACGGTTGGTTTTTTCACACAGGGTCGAAAGCTCAGTTTTACTTATTAAGCAATCTGAAAAAAAACAAAAAGGTCAAGTACGTGTAAGTTCTGTTTAGGGCTAATGGGTCTAAACAAAACTTACGCATGTTAGCTATAGGTATTAGGTTCTTAAAGGTTTTTCATATGACAATATATATATTAAATACTGTCTATACTTAGTTTACGCGAGGAATAGACATTTAAGTAAAACACTTTAACGGTTTAATAAGTTAAAAATCAATGTCAAATAAGTTTAACTAATATACGCGTTTTAAACCGTTAAAGTGTTTTATTTAAATATGTACATTTATATTCTCGTTGGTCTAAAGAAAGCAATGTATTGTTGGAATTGGTGGTAGGGCTATCGATAATTCCGTCTGGGTCTTGCATACCGTTCCCAGATAATAAAAATAATCGTCTGTCCTTTATCATAAAAAATATATCAACATAGGGTATTTAATACTATACTCGTACATACATAATGCACTGTATAAATAAGCCACAATTGACATTTTTGGTCAAAAAACCTTTTTTTTTTATTTCGAGAAGTTTTTCAATAAGAACGGATGTTTATTTTTATTTATAAGTGTAAGTGTAATAAAAAAAATAGGATACTAGAACCTGTTGTTCCCATTTTAATAAACTTACCGTCACCCATAGTTTCTTCTGTGAATTTCTTGATTGTATCTTCAAAAAATTGTTTTGTTTCTGGCTGTGGAGGATCTGTTATATCCTGCACCATTGTCAAAGACGAATAGTCAATGCGAAATTTCGACAACAAGTTTGCCATACTGAAACAAACCATAATCATATTTTATACTATACCCCATACGTTGTAACGAACAAAGATTCTATTTAGAAATAGGTTTGTCAGTACATGTGTCTCCACTATAGAATATTAAACCGATTTTGATTAACGGTGTCGAAAAAAATGTGAAATAATGGCGTAAGTCATTCTTGACATATATAAAATAGCGGAATTAAGACCTGGAAACGTAACTACTAAAAAAAAACTAATCACCACGTTAAAAATTGAAAGGTCTTAGCGAGAAAATATATACGATCTCTAGTTGCTCTTTCGATAATAATATCAGGGCTATTAAACGGGTTTGTTAGTTTTACGAGTATATGTAACTATCTACTCACTTTCGTTCTTCAAGCTCCATTTCATGGTGGCGGTTAGCTAGCGCGAATATCCTCAACTTACAATTAGCCCACGCACTTCGCTGGGATATAATGTATGGTAGGAGAATCGTCAGCCCTCCATCATCATATAACCACCATACGTCAAGAGTACCGCCATCCTAAGACCAATGTTTAAGTTAAATATGTTATTTGACAGTGAAGCATGGATGGCTAACTTTATGGAAGATGAAAAAGCCCCAGCTTTATGAGATCTTGCCAATGGCCTTGGTAATTCGGATTTATTATCAAAATGTTGTACTAAAAGCATTTTTTTCTGCATTCATAATTTTATTTATTTAACTCTTTATTGTAACACCCACAAAGTACATACGAAGGTAACTTTTAAAAGTCTTAAAAATACAACTATTAGGAAGCAAATATTATTACTATATTATGGTTATGGTGTGCAATGGGCAGCCTGATCGCTATAGAGCGATCTCTTCCAGGCAAACCTTTTGACAATTTTGCATTGCTTCTGGAAACTGTTAAAGTATAAAATTCCTTATCCATCGTGAAATATGGGGCAGACACATTTCTTTGTCTGTTTCATATGTCGACTTTATTTACAGGGGAAGGTTTTTTCATGCTACTGTGTTGTCTGATCATAACTAGTTAGTGCTCACGAGATTCAACCACGGGTGGTCAAAATATAATTTTAACTAGTAAAGTAATAATTTCTATTAGACTATTATCTCTACCTCATTTATTTATGCATACCTGTTTCTTCTTAAATATAGTCATCTGCGACAATTGTTCCATCGACAACTCTATCCCTGAGGAAGACTTGTAGATTATGTGTCGAGGAATATCTATTGCCTTTTTATCCTTCTTCTTCTCTTTTGAATCACTCTTTTCGGATATCGTGAAGGACCGAGATGTAGTCAGTGTTAACAAATCTAAAAATACATTGTCAAGTTAAATTCTTCTATTAAACATGGGAACTTCTATAAATAAATCGGTTTTGACTTAAACGAAGATTGAGTAAAGTATACGAACTCAAGTTATGTCTACTGGAAGGTTGGGAGTCAGCTCGTATATCAAGATCAGAGTCAGCGTGCATGATGAGCGGCCCTCGACGCACGCGCAGCTCTCCCGTGCTAGAGGTGCCCGTTAAGCCGCTAGCTGGTGTTTCCTCGGCCACCGTACCATAGTCCAAGCCCCCCGGAACACGCACTATAGCTACTGATAACCGGTTCTCGAACGCCGTGCTAAAATAAGGTCTATTTAAATTTGAAAATTTCGCAGTTTCTAAGAGCAAATTAATGGCTGCTCTTCAATCAAGGTGATTTTGTCATTTATTTAGACAGGGGTTTATTTATGTACATAAATAACTGGAGGACACAACACAACACGTTTTATTTTTTGACAAATTTATTAAGGTCATATAAAAAGTATCAATCCCAAATCCAATTTCCCTTTTTGTAGGATACGGATACGATATAAAAAAATCCCACGGAAGGAACAGAAAAAAATATTCACCTTTGAGTATTTAATACGAAAAAATATCCGCCGACAGTATATCTTTCAAAATTAACTCGCAATAAGCTTATTTATGGCAATAAAATTTGGTCGAAATTAATGAATTACTACCAATAATTTATTAGAGTTGTATCGGCATAATAATATTAAACATGCAAACAACAAAACATCTCTGTTATGTATCTATTATGTTTTCTCGGGGTTCAAACACCTCTCTTCTTTCAGGCAATTGAGTCAAAGAACAAAAAAACTTACTGTAAAACATTGAAATATGATTCAAGATCAGCTTCCGGTGCTGTTGACCAGTCGGTCTTGTAGCCCATCAGCAGCACGTTGGGTGCAAGTCTTCCAACACCAGTTGATTGTATGAGAGCTCGCGCACCAATTTCAAAGCTAAATCCGTTAACATTTGCACAGAATGCGCGTACTTTGCGCGCGCGCAACCAATCATCGCTCGATCGCAAGCGATAGGAACGCTCTTTGTAAGATAACTTTTTCTGTAAATAGAAAGAATATAAATTAGTTATGATTTTACTGTGTATTTGTATCCTTAATAACGTAACACGGTATTAATTATTATTAGTTATTGTTAGATCAACATTTTATCATATTATTGTCTTTCGGGCTGTTCGGCCGATGTGAGCGAGAAGAGGTTCTCGACGTTTCGCCATCACGTGTGGACGGCATCTTCAGGAGATGTTGACTCCTCGATTGCTCGAAGAATCAATTCTTCGAGCGTGAAACGTCGAGAACCTCTTCTCGCTCACATCGGCCGAACAGCCCGATATGCTGATCGATGGCCGTGAAAGCCTTACTCAATTTATTCAACATTTTATGTTTCTTATAAGTGATCATGTGCTATAAACACAAATTTACATTTATATGAATTTTGAATATAATTAATGCATTCACCAAAGGACAATAAAATGTTAATAAAAATGTAATTTATACTCGTTTATTCTTTGAATATTAAACGTGACTCTATAAATCGAGAATTTTATTTGGTTTAATGGTAGGGTGTTCGTTTCCCGGTATTCAACCGAAATATTTATTCTTATGTACACTTTGACATGTTCTCCTCGCTGATAAAAAAATCGTTGAGAAAATTGTTGTCTGTTAGAAAGCAAACATTTAATGATATGTCACCTACCAAAGCAATAAGGTCTACATCTTCACAGGAGGCCAGACTCTGGCCTCCTATATATATCCTATAGGATATAGGAGGCCAAACTTCCAATTGTAGGAATTAACGGGCTAAAATAAGATACTACAATTTTGAGACGATTGCAGTTCAGACAGAAAAGCATTCAAAAATTACTTGTTGCACATCTCCGACAATCATAAGCGAGCCAGCCTTTGTAATGAGGTTGCCAAGGTCCACCAGGGCTGGTCTATCTTGAGGCTTTCCAGATAGTACGAGCAGCTGCGGCCAGTAGTTCTTTACGTGCTCACCAGTGCGTGCCAGATTGTGAGCGCTTGACAGCGCGGTTTTGTACATTTGAGCTTGAGTGCTACTTCCCCAGTTGACATCTGAAACCAAAAGAATAAATCTTAAGCACTAACTTTAGTCACCTTTATGTATCAGTAGTGCTTAGACATTACGTTTAAAAGAATATATAAACGTATCCCTTATTGAGGTTACATTATTCTTATCGACCTTACTTGACTACTATTCAGTTAAGTTGTAATAAGTTTAATAATTGATTTCGCGTTTTAAACTGTTAAAGGTTATTTAAATTAAACAAATAGGGGACGAACATCCAAACGTACCAAATATAACTTACTAGCTGTATCAGCAACTTCGTTTAGTTATTTTGGGAATACAATCTTGTTTTTGCAAACCTCTTTAACGTGACCCGTCGTTCTTGCAAGTTAATCTTAAAAGATAGACGTATACTGTCGCGGACATTTTTTAGATCATTAAAAGAGAAATAATTCTTTGATATATAATTTGTGGGTATCTTGAACCGTTTCACAGCATACGCATCGGAAACACACCGAAAAATTCACACATTTCCCGCTGTTTCTTTGCTCCTATTATCCACAGCGCGATTAATGCTCTAACCAACACAAAAGATTTTTTCAATTTGAGTAGTTCCTGAGATTAGCGCGTTCAAACATACAAACAATCGAACTCTTCAGCTTTATATATTAGTGTAGATAGGTGTAACGTGTGTTTGTGAGTTTAACTTCCTTTAAATCAGCAAATATGGAGTCTTTATGTAACAGCATAGAGTTATTGTATCTATTCTTAGTAAAGTGTATCTACATACTAAATCTATTCGTAGGAGCCATTACTCAATGTTGGGAACATATTTAGCTCACTCGTCACTTTGTTCTCGTTTGTAGCCACTTGTAATGATATGTGGGTTACGTTGTACTTGCGTGAAAAGCCAAGGAATTTGTCTGAACATGATTACCATCGAATGTGCTTTTACATGCCAAGTGCTGGATAAATTAGGAACACGTACACATCCATTTTCAATACCGAATTTAACATCCGTAATATAATATATACGTTTTTATTTTTCTCAAAAATACATTCTCCTCTGACTTGTACTACGAAGTCATTAGATATTTTTTTCTGTCGAGCTTTTAACGCTATAAATACTTATAAATTAGGAGCATAACATAATTTTCATTATAGTTACTTGAGGCAGACTACAATATAATTGTATAAGCTGTCTCCATAAAATAAACGCAGCTAGAAATATAACACTTTAACCGTTTAAAACGCGATAAATATTTGTTAAACTTATTTGAAAAATATTTTTACTTCGGCCCGACGTTTCGGATGCTTTGCAGCAACCATGGTCACGGGGAGACTGGAGATGTATGATGTCTCTCATATCAAAGTAAAAATTGCTCCGCTAGCGCCATTTGTTCCGTCATCAAATTGGTATTTGGCGAAACTGACCGAGTATATCACGTTTTAAACCGTTAAAGCGTTTTATTTAAATATTTCTAGCTGTCATTATAAATATTTCTTCATCTACTTACCGCCGCAAATATCATTGGCGAAAATCTCATAAGGGAAGTATTAAATCCTAGATACAAAAATGCCAAAGCAATGACATCATAATTTGTGAACTGGTAACGTGTTCTAAATAAAAGTAAATATGGCAAAAAAAATAATAAGGAACCAACCGGAAGGTTAATGAAGGTATTTTATATAATCCTTACCTGGGTTGCGGTAGTGGACTATGAGGTAAAGTGTGAAGAATATCGCGAAGGTAACCAGAGACATCACCCAGCTGATCAGAAGCATTATTGCCACGCACATCAGAAATCCAAGTAGAGATACCCATACATTGTAGTACTGTAAGTGTTTAAAAATATATTTAAAAAAAAAAGATTATTGACAGATTGAGAAAAGATGATCAGATCGATTCTAAGATGTATTTCATATATTCCATAAATTGAATACTATCATTTATGATCTAAAAGTTTAATATAGAAATAACCACCAAAAATTAAAATCCAAGAACAGTTATATTTTAACACTCCATAAACAAAACCAGTTTTTGCGAAGTGGAGCTAAAATTCTTCGTCATTAATACATATTCAGTAATCTCTCGGTTTAGATAGAAATATATCATTTATATCTTAGAATAGGCTTCTTAAACTGGAGGGAACTGAAATAAAATCGGTAGTCGAATCATCATTATAAATTCACAACATCCATGTTTCAACCCGTTTAAAATTGTGTTATCTCAACTTCCTTATACTGCTTTTGTATTTTCTAATACTTATATTTTAGTTCCCGTTTAATAACTTTAAAGATTTATACAGCTAGAACACAATTTTTTCTCACTCATCAGCAATTCCTCCCATTTAGGGGACATACATGTTTAGTAGATGTGGTTATTGTTTCAGGGCACGTGTAGCTAAACATAAACAAGGCTTGTATTAGACTGACCCGGAATGTAGGTCGCCAGCCCAATGGTCGCACGAGAGCCGCGTGGAACGTGCAGAAGTTGATCAGGGCGTAGGATGCGAGGTAGAAATTGGAGATCAATGGCGCGATTGTGTTTAAGTCAGCTGCGAGAGTAAAATAATTATAAAATATAATAATAACTAGCTGTGCCCGCGACTTTGTTCGCCTGGAATAGTGATCTGGGGGTAGAATTTATAATTATTAAGGGTGTTTAATAAATTATGTAATTGCGCATTTATGCTACTTTGCCGCAACTAACTCTTACTCTAATTCCCACCCTCACTCCCACTCCCACTCCCACTTCTATTACCAAAAAGCCAAAGCAGACAGTTTCATTGTTCTAGCTTCAAAAACCACGAATTTCCATACAAAGTTTATCCCCCTTTTAACCCCTTACTAACCCCCTTGTCGTAGAAAATGTTCTTTCTCAGGGTCTAGACCATATGTGTGACAAATTTCATTTAAATCCGTTCAGTAATTTGGCGTGAAAGAGTAACAGACAGACAAAGGACAGACAGACAGACAGAGTTACTTTCGCATTTATAATATTAGTAAGGATAAGGATTACAAATTATCAAAGCTATAAACAATCTTTATTTTAAAACTTCCCCATACCACAGATTAGTAAGTATGACAAAATATTTATTATCTGTGTATTCCCCAACTACTGTCGTGCTTAAAGCCATAGGCACCATAACCCTATTAAACACGGGATATTTTGAATAATCTAAACATTAACGCTGAAGGATGCGCTTTCATTGTTAAAATCATATGTAATTACTGAATTTCAGTATTAACAATTTACTGTAAAAAGCCTAATAACCTTACCTATAAGTAAGAAAATAAGTGAGACGAAGAATGTAAGAACATAACCACGGTAGGGCTCGCCGTGTTTGCCGTAGGGTTTCGAGAAGAAGATAAGTCCAGGGTAAATGCGATCTACGCCAAGTGCCTGGATCAGTCGTGGGACTGAGAGAAGGTTCGTCAACGCTGTAGATAAAGTCGCAGCCCAGCAACCACCATAGATGAATGGTCCCCACGCTGACATTAGCTGCATCACCTGGGTAAAACATGCGTACATCGTTTAAAGAATATTATCCTAATATTGATATTAATTATAGAGTCTTAACCGGTTTTGTTTCGGCAACACAAGAACTAGTTATAAAATATTTTTTACTTTGTTCGTCGTAAAATCAAACATTTTTAATACTTTGACTTTTCTTGCCGAATAAACTTTGTGCTTTAATATATCAAATAATTTTAAAAGAGGAAGTCTACTATCATATCTATATCTATCTATCTACATATCTCTAGTATCTAATTAAAAACTTGCCCACGCTCTCTTTTTTGCCAAATATGAATATTAAAAGTTTTCAAAGTGTAAACTTACTGAATAGCTATTGTGGAGTCCATATATACATCCTCCAGTGGTATTCACACAACTGGCTAGACCACTGTAGTCAACCACAGTGCCATTTACTAGTATAAGGTCTGTTAAATTTCCACTGGCATCCCTCAGGGCTCCAGCCCCAGATATTAAGACCATAGCTGCGTAGCTCACCATAGATATCAGTAGAGCAAGTAACGTTCCTTTGGGTATGGCCGATGCCGGATCCTAAATATAATACGTGCATTAGTTTTACGTAAGGAAAAATATCTACAAACATTTTACTGATAACTAAACCGAAGTGTACCAGTGCTTTTCAATGAATACTTCTATCAATTCGTAATAGTTAATAAATAAAAAATAAAGAACTTATTCCTCTAATCAAAAACAACGGTTTCAAACACTGTCTGTAGTTTACGCGATTTGGAAAGATTTAAATGAAACACTTAAACGATTTAAAACACGATATATATTAGTTAAACTTATTGGAATTTTTTTTAGGGATCGACGTTTCGGATGCTTTGGAGCAGCCATGATGGAGCACGTATTAAACCGTCAAAGTGTTTTATTTAAACAATGGTTTCAAGTTTAATTCTCGTTCTTTGAAAATTAGTTTTCAATTGAAATGATATACATTAGATGCAAGATCGTTTCCCAAACATAATTCAGTTACTATGAGTCATTTTCGCTGAAATATAATGAATCATTTCAAATTCTCAACTAAATGGACAGAGTAAGTATGGAGATGAAGGACGTGTATTTCTCAGTAAATGTATAGAACACATTATATATGTACTTATAAACTATACTACTTAGCTGTGCCCGGGACTTCGTGCGCGTGGAATAGTTATTTTGGCATATGATGGCCATGTATTTTTGCAAACAAGTTTTATAAATTATAGCTCTTACCCACGACGTCGTCGTCGAATTTTAAAAGATAGACACAACCGCAAACATGGTTTTAGATTATTTAAAGGAAAATTATTATTTCGTACATATTTTTGAGGGTTTAACACGTGAAATAAATGTGAATTTGACTTAAGGAGCCTGTAAACAATCAAAAACGTCGGGAAATCCTTTGTAATTATCGCGAAATATATTATTTTATTTATTCAATATTTTAATTGAACCTTTAACAATACAAACCGCGAATTTGTTTGTAAAAGAATTTTCCTTTAAGGTGTTTCCTTCATGTCGAGTTATTGTATAGCTATTATTTAATTGAGATTTGGTTATGTACTACAATCCAATATTGTTTCAGTAAAGACTATAAATAAGAATGAATCACCAATTCTTCCAATACTATGAAGCAGATTGATTCAATTCCTTCGCCAAATTGTGTCAACGAAAATGGCGGGTTAATCAAAATGGCCGTCTCGCCATAAATTTATGTCAAACAACTGCGCAGAGAGTTTTGTTAAATAAATTTTAATTTATATGATAAAATGTATGGACTTTCTAGTAAGTTTCGTTTTACCTTAGGAATGCAAGGAATTTTTATAAGCTTTTGTTAACGGTTAAAGCGTTACGTTAATCCGCTTGTGTTTACGCGAGCAGTACAGATTTTAGTCAAGCTGTTCTTATTTTAGAAATATAGGTAAAATGAAGTGAGAAAAATATAGTCGTGGGTTCATGAGCAGTAATTTTTAAATCTTAATTATTTTATAGACGAGTTTAAACATGATTCCTTGTCGGCTGATGAACAGTACCTCAAACTTTGTGTCGCAATTATTTACGTAGTAAGATCAATCAGATTTTATAAATTATGCGTTAATAGAGTTGCGACAACTTTTCTTTGGATTGGATTTACTTAATAAATAAATACTAGTCTTAAATAGTTTTATTGTTTGTTATTTCCTTTATACCAAGGTTTAAAAGGGCAAAAAGGGACGCTTTCAATTTGACGTAAAACATTTGTACATATTAAGTAAGCCAAGGTAAGGTCGCGATTAAGGAAGGAATAACATTTTTATTCTGTTTTATCACCAACCGAATCGAGTTCGTTAGTTTGGTTCTTTTTATTTGTGACGTCAAAGTTCTGTCTTCATGGCCGGCTATCTTATGAATTTAGATCATTTTAGGGTACCGCGTCAAAAAGGTAGAAAAAAGTATTATATTACTAAGGGCTCACTGTATTTCTGTTACTGCTTTGGAAGTAAATACTAAGGACAAGATAAAATTGCAAAATATGCCATTTCTCCTATTAGTGCTGGATATCAATAAATGATAACAGGTAGACACTTGGATTAACAGTAAAAGGGAAACGACATAAATCTTGTGTACATTGTCAAGATACGGAACCTTTCGTGCGATAATCCGACTCACACTTGGTCTATTTATTAAATTATATTCCAGAATTGTATCATTCGCTGCTAAATGGAATATCTTTATTATGATTGTAGTAGCAATAAGAATAACAGTTTTAAGCACGTGTCAGGAAACAGAAGACAAATATTGACTATTTTCTTGGAAGTTCCCAGTTCAGTGTGGGTTAATTTGAGGAGTATAACGTCATAGCTGCGTCGATTAACTCGTACCAATCGTCAACATTGCTTTTTCATTGATTTATAGGACACCCTGTATTTACGACATCTCTCGTTCTTGCCAATTAGAGTTAAGTGATGATAACGTTTTTCGTACTAACGAAATAAATATATTATTTTTGGAAACATTAAAAAGTAAATTTCGAACTCAATTTGCAATAAATTCTAAAATCTAAATAAACGAGGGGTGTAAGCGTACCTATATGAGATATATACGCCCTAGGCTTGAATTCTTTAAATAAATGAAGTAACCCGTAGTAATAGCCGTGCAGGGATTATTGTTTCTACATTGAATCAATTACTTGCCTAGAAACACATCGATTAGTAAAACAAACATAAAAATGTGTCGTTCAAGTTGGGGTTTGAAACAAAATTGTTAGCTTATACACTAAGTGGTAATACACTACTTACTTTTAGATCCCCAGATATATTGGCCCCAGCCTGTATTCCTGTGACAGACGGAAAGAATATCGCGAAAACACTGAAGAAGTCCTGGTTCAAATTCTCGCTGTACCGGAAATCTGGCTTGAAGTTATGCGCCAATGTTGTTGCTGCCAAATAAATAAAGCATGACATCTTACATACCAATCATAATATTTAATAAATTAAATAGTGAAAAGTTTTAGTCCTAATTATTAGAATGTATAATATAAGGTCGGGATGAAGAGCTAGGAGGTATGTATATATTTAAGTACTTAATTTTTAAATAAAATGCTTTAACGGTTTAAAACGCAAAATATTAAACTTACTTGAAAATGATTTTCAAATAAGTTTTGCTAATAGATCGCGTTTTAAACCGTTAAAGTGTTACATTTAAATGTGTACTACTCGCGTAAAGTATAAACAGTATTCGACTATTTTTATTTTTTTTTACTTCTATGTTATTGTTTTATCTAATTTAGTTATAAGCGTGAAACTTTACATAAAAAAATATAAGAAGATAGTCTAAAAGTGTAAAAAAACCAGCTGTCAATTAACATTTATCTACTCACTTCATTGAACATAATAATAATTATTATAAACACTTTACGGTACTTACCGCTAAGGCCGAGAAAACCTTGAGTCATTTCAGTGACATCCTTAGGGCCCATTATAGTGCCGACAACGAAATCAACCATCGCCCCGACAATTATTGCAATTAGGAAATTCTGAAAGATACAACACTTTGTCAGGGATTCCCACCTCTTTAACGTAATTCAAGGCTCCAAATTATTCATAATCTGCCATGTGTTTGGTTTTGAACATAATTATTTCGTGTTGGAAGTAGTTATGTTTAATAGCTAGTAACTGTAAGTTCTACCTGGAGTACCTGATCTTTTTCTACTTCTAGTAAAAGTACCACAATAAATTTTCCCAATTAAGATATTACATAAAAAATTGTCTTTCTTCACGGTCCCTTTCTTTATAGTTATAGAATTGTAGAGCAGATTATAACAAATAAAATATCTTTTATGGGTGTTTAAAGAGTTTTTGGGACTTTATGAATAGTATATATACATTATAAAAGTCAATATTGTATTAGGATAATAGTCCACATAAGGCGTAAGATGACGAAACCGTTAGTAATTTCACTGAAAGTTAATAAAGCGAGAATTAAAACCAATCATACTAATTACTACTGAAAAGTGGTTCGCGTGCTTTCATCAATCTTTATGTCCCCAGCTAGTTTTTTGACATTGCATTTGTGTGTTTCCATAAACGGACCATTATCATATAAGACACTTTTAACTGCTGAAAACGCGAATATATTTTATCTACGCTAGTAAAAAAGTTTTTTATTTAAATGTGTACTACTAGGGTAAACAATAGACAATACTTGACATTGTTATTGTCAATAATTCGTGCGGACGTACGTCGTTTAAATAGTTGATAAGTTGATGCGCAAAACGGTCGGTAATATGTATTCGCGTAAGCAACAGGTTAGGGAAAAATATTCGATTGTTTACATCATTATATAGCCAAGAACAATAAATAATTAGTAAATATTTCATATTTCAATATCTTTCTTATTTCAACCTGACTGTTTAAAATTTATTTTTAAATAAAACACTTTAACGGTTTAAAACGCGATATATTAGTTAAACTTATTTGAAAATGATTTTTAACTTCGGCCCGACGTTTCAGTCTCCCCGTGACCACGGCTGCTTTGCAAAGCATCCGAAACTCGGGCCGAAGTTAAACATCATTTTCAAATAAGGTTAACTAATATATCGCGTTTTAAACCGTTAAAGATTTTTATTTTAAATGTGTTCTACTCGCGTAAACTATAGACAGTATTTAAAATTTATTCTTTAAATTATTCTTATGGATATTAGAAAATTGATAATAATCTAAATTCGTATTAAATAAGTTTAAAACAACGCTCAAATGAGGTAAAAATAAACGGCGCCATATTTGACAATTACGTTTCCGTTTAGGAGCAACCTATCCTAAATGTAAGGTACTATTAAAAAATAGGTCGCGTTTGAAGTGTAATTATTTTATTTCTTTATGAAAGACTTATTAAAGTATTTTATTAATAAAAGTATTTTCATGAACCTCACCAATTTCATGAAAGTAGAAAATTTGTCTTATTTATGTCTAATGGCAATTTTTACAAGTTTTCGAAATAGTCACTAGCTATTCAGAGTGTATAGGTAAGGTTTCTAACATTTATACTGATGAGAACTGTATCAAAAGCTAATGGAATTGTATTCGAGGGTGTTTACAGTAACGAAGGCCACGGGTCAGCCCGACCTCCCCCGATATCTACTTTGTATAACTAGCGATACACTGTTTACATCAGCGTGGATCGTGTTTTATAAATGACAGTTTAAATACGTTTAGACCTAAATAAACTAAACATCATAAAATTACCATGGTCATTTGTGCTACGATAATATTAGTGTAAACGTATACTAGCTATTACAAATATGTACGATTGTTTAAATTTTAAAGCCTTTCAATCATTTATTAATTATGTCATACCGATAAAATACTTAATTTAAGTGAATTATTGAGTATATATAACGGCCATTAAAAATAATTCTTTTAACAATAAAGACGCTCGTTTTAAAGGAGAGATTCTAAAAATGACAATACCACATCGATGAGTTTAAACTCCTCAGTCCTTTTAATCTATTGATGTTCCACAGCTGGGCAAAGATCTCGTCTATCATAAAGCTTAGACCCACGCTTCATCGAGGGTAAATGGGTTTTAAAGACTACCGTCACTGAAATAGCGATGATGCAAAGGACTAAGACCCGAAGTTAAAAAGCAAAAGTTATAACACTTCCTACTTCTAAACTTCGAGCTGCTTTAGGAAAAGTTGCTTGGAAAACTGAACACAATGTCTGGAACTTGTGACCTGCAGTCTCGTCTTCTTTTTTATTACTGAGGAAGACAGACAAGCACTGATCCAAAACGCGGGTAAACTTCACGAGTTATATTCCTACCAGCCTATTTTATATCCAGCTCTCCAGACGAGTCTGTTAGACTGTTTCAGAAAAATTATAAATTTATTATAAAGACATTAAAAACGGTGGGGATCGAATCCACGACCCGCTGATAATTTTTAGGCAGTTAGTTGGTGTATTCCAAGAGCAACTTGTATTAGCTAGCCGTTAGGCTAGCGTACATAGTATTCTTCTTCAAAGTATTACCTGCCGTTATTAATTTTTTATTACTATGGTTATAGCTTTTACACTTTGCGTTAAAATGGCTGTAAAAGTATAATATTGTATACCGCATAGAATTGATATCAATGGTTTTAGTAATATTTATATGTTCCGTGTTTATGAACACTATTATATTCAAGTGCATAAAAATCCGCCAAAAAAATACGTATGTATCTATAAAATAACCTGGCCGTCTTTTGTACAATTTACACTTTTATTGCTTTCAAACTTAAAAACTTAGAATGAAATTACAGCACGGACTGTTGTAAAAAAAGTATAACATTTAGCTAAATGGGTTAGTTACCAGCCAAATAAACAAAAATAAAAAATTGTAACTATTACCTGTGCCTTGCTCTCCCAATCCATGCCAACAGCGCAGATAATACACATAACCACCAGGGCTACAGCACCGACTATCCTGACATCATTCACTCCGTTATCTATGATCTTCACTCCTTGGTTCTTCAGTAAATCATTGAGGGAATCACAGAAACCGATAGTGTTCATACTAGCTGCTACAGCGTTAGCAAAAGCGAATATGATGCCGACGGAAGCTCCAAATTCTGGTCCGAGTGATCTTGATATTATGTAGTATATACCACCTAAAATAAGATTTAATTTAATAAACAAAATACAAAAAGGCGTAAATTTGACTTAAGTATTATCTGTAGTTTTCGCGGGAAAGAAAATAGTTTCACGCGAAGTATATTTATAATTCATGATTATTTTAAAATAGAAAAAAATTAAATTATTTTAACTATGGCACGATTTCGGATGACCACGGCTTCTGCTGCTAGAGAGCTAAGCTATTTCACGTTTTAAATATTTAGAAGTGTTAAATAAAACAATATATGTCATAGTATTAATAGTAACTTTTATTATTTTTTATATTATTTATTTAATAGTACCCCTATTATACTACCTTTATCGACTATAAAAAATATTTATAGAGCTTTTTTTATTTATATATCTTGTTTTTTTTGCAAATAAAACCTTCGAAAAACCACCAAACTCACAAAAATGCTCATGCAAGAACGTAACAAAAAACCGACTGACTTAATAACAATTAGTTTAAGTTAAGTAATGCTATTGGAAATCGAAAACACAAAACATTTCTTTGTATCCATCTTTGCTTGGGACACAATAGTGTGAAGGTATATAGTGCAAATGTACTCATTAACCGTTTTTTTTTCTTTTCTTCTTTAAATGGATTTAAAAATATATAATTTTTAGAAAAAAAACAATCAAAATGTTGCCATATATCGTGTTGATTAATTCAGAATCATCGAGAACAAGAACTAAGCATCTATACAAATTTATTCTCTCTGGTACTCATATCACATAATATGATTATGTAACATAAACCAGTTTATGTCACAATCTATATAAAAGAAAATATTTGCATATATTGTGTGCAATAAACTGCGACGTTTAGCGCAATAGGTAATTTAATCCAAAATCAAAATACAGTGCATCTTATTGAGATTGTATATGACTGGAGTATACCTTCCGTCACTCCGGGCTTGTCTGATCTCTAACAAACAAAAAATGTCTGTAACTGTATGTAACATACTGTTAAATAAGAGTATTGCTTCGTTATGACAAACGCTTAGTTATTATATAATTAGTGGTACTTCGATCAATTAAAATAATCTCCATAAACAACATTTTATTGGATGAAGATGCATGGCGCCAATTTTAATACTCATATCTTGAATATAGCTGAAGCAAGTTTACTCTCAATTTCTTATAGCTTATTTAAAAATATGGTTTCGATATTCATATTATATTATAGACTAGCCGTGATAGCCGTTCCTAAGATTAGCGCGTTAAGAAACAAACTGTTCAGCTTAATATATTAGTATACATTTGGAACAATACAATACTAAAACTATTTTAGACTTATCTGTATCTAGTTTTACCCTGTTTTTACATAACACAACTACATTGCTAACTTAAATGGAGCACTTTAAGATGTGTCATATATTCGTTAATTTATTAACACATTAACAACAAAAATAAAGCAGCTATGGTCACGGTAGACGTAGTCATCAACAATGACTGGTCGTTGTTAAAAACTAATTGAATACTTTAGTTTACGCGAGTATTACATATTTAAATAAAACAGGTCTCCCCGTAACTATGGCTACTGAAAGCATCCGAAACGTCGGGCGGTAGTTAAAATGATGTTGAAATAACTTTAACTAATATATTTCGCGTCTTAAACCGTTAAAGTATTTTGTTTGAACAAAAATTAATTGACTAAACCGAAACGTGTTCTAAACCGTTAAAACTTATTTAAATATATACTTTAATCACAGACAGTTACGTTACCTCCTTTTACTTCGCCATTGGTGCAGATGGCGCTCATAGACAGGGTAGTGATGACGCAAACGATAGCCGATATTGCTATAATAACAAGTGACAAGCCGATCCCAGCCTGCGACACTACCCACGAGATTCTCAGAAAGAGCATCACACCCCATATGTTTAGTAGACATGGTATCAACACGCCCTAAAAACACTGCCACACTTAATATTGTAGTGGATCGATGTGAAATATTAATATGTACTTATATGATTGTACAAAAGAGGCTTTAGATGAGCCAAAAATAAATTCAAAAAGACATTTGTGAAGACTACATTATTCTATCTAACAAAAAAGTTAAAGAATAAAATGTTTTAAAAAATCGAAAATAAATTGAAAAAATTTTCGACTCGGGCAGGACTTGAACCGGCATCGTCAGCTTTCCGTGCTGTTGCTCTACCAATTGAGCTACCGAGTCCGAGAAAAAAATTTTTTCAATTTATTTTCGATTTTTAAATTATATAGTGCCTTCATGTGAATAAATGTGAAAAATATTAATTTTCAAAAGAATTTGTTTTCCTTATAGTGAGAAAAGGACCCACTTCTGAGTTTGGGCGGGTATGTAGTTGATCAGTTTTCCGAGCCCCGCTTGACCGAAACTGTGTTATCTAGAGAATCGAACCTATCGCCGTTTGTGCTTAACACAATCTTAGGCTTTTTGAACCACGGAGAAGGTAAATTTTATATTAAGATAGAAAATTATTCATTTAGTCAATGACGTCTTACTTGAATCCATCCTAGTTTTATCCCCATGGCAGGTGTAGGCGATTTTGTATCCCGTTGGTTTTGTTTTTCATCCTGTAAATTATCAACTAATTATTACAACATACAGCCTTATATTAAAATGTACTTAAAGTGGTTTAAATTACAGGAAGTTTCATAGTCATTAGAAAAATAATTATTCCATGCCTAGAGGGGTCATTATTATGTTATATTAACCGCATAATGTCCACTGGTTTTTCAACAAACGTCAAACAAATTTGCCATAAAAACTAATTTATCTAAGTCTCGTTAAATACTCATTAATTGTGGTTTTTATGTCATCATAAAAAATTAAATACAAACAAATTAATTATTATAATAATTGTTACACATTAGTAAATCGATTATGTATATTGTTTGAGAACAATCGTGTTAAGTTAATAAAATATAACATATCGACATATTTGTGACAAATGTAGAACCGTACTTTTTAATATTAGTCCTAGGATATATGTATGCGTCTCTATCATATAGTCTAGTGAGGTAGATAGATAAATCATCTATTTATTTGTTTATTTAATTGCACGACACAGTAACCAATCCATTCTCAATGGCCTCGTGAACACTCATATGGAATTACATTATATATACATTTTTAATATCGTTCTTCACGCTATAGTTTCCATCACATAGTATACATATATACAAAATTAATATTTTGATATACGAACTATAGGTTCAAACTCCCGACCTCACGATCGTAAGTAAAGCGGTAACACCACTAAATCGACACAGGTCTTTAGCATAATTTAAAAAAAGTTACGAATCTAGATATTATTTTATTAACCTAATCTCGTAATTCCTAAGTTAACAAGTCGTTGTCTATCTCCTTAACGTGAGATTCCTTTAGATAAATCTCTGCGATGTCTTCATTCAAGTGTTCACGATTATGTTGATCATAACAATATAATTATCTGGTGAAGGTGGCATACATAACTCGTACGCAGATAATGCTTGGGTAAACAGAAGAAAAATGATTGACACCGTCTGTTACATGTTTATGTTAGTTAATAAACGTGTATTATGGTATAGCCACTGTCTCAGGCTGATTAAATTAAATACTAACGAAGTGACCTCGCTTCTATTTCAGAGTATAAAATAGATACTTTCTGTAAAAGATCATATTTTATTTGATCGTAGTTGAAACAGAACTTTAGTAATGGCGAAATCATCACTAATTGATTGATATTTATAAAACATTTTAAAAAGATTAAACCCACGACGAACTGACATACGGCGGAAGAATAGGCACGGTACTCTAAGGATTGTGACTTTGAATCCTGTCAGTGTAATTTTTAAATTTTTATTCTGCAATTAGACATTGACATAACATATAGATATATATATATTTTTGTTTTATTATATTAAACAAAGTAATATGAGTTTTATAGAAAAGTATATTCAAATGTTTTCTTTTAGATATAGGTATGTTAGAAGGGTCGAGAGAACGTGTAAAATTTTTTACCTATAAGTTTTTCATCACTACACTACATAAATATTTACAAAGAAAGCCATTTGTTGATACTAGTGTCTTACGGATATTGTTTACTATTAAAACGAATGTATGATTTACAAGGTATTATTACAGTTATTTTTTCTAAAGCAGCTATTCTTAAAACACTAACATATATCAAGGGCAATACATAGTTTTACATAATTTTTCAACTGTAACGATTTCTTTTACTTCATTTTTTTCTGATATAAATTATTTTAGTTTTTATAAATTCTGTGAATATAGAAAGATCATTATAAATGTTACTATTTAATACTTTTTGTCTATTAAAAGTAGTAGAATTAGAGTTTTCGTAGGTCATTTTGTTTGTCACTTCACTATTTTCATTAACGGTCGATGTCATTTATTTATTTATAATGTTCGTCGCTCTAATTTTTATATAATTAACGTATTAAATTCCAGAATTTCCTCCTCTTAACGCAACGCGAGTTACGTTTTGAAAGGTTTATTCCTTTTTACTTAATTATAGGTTAGGCTAAACATTATGCATAATGTTTAGCAATAACTGAATGCATGCATGAAGTTTTTACTTATATTGTAACTATGTTCTTTTTCACTGGATTCAACCGGTTATAAGAAGTTGATTCCTGCTCACATCGGTTACAATGTCCTCTACTTCGTATGGATTATGATTCCATGATATCGCATCGCAACCTTCTTGACAATTCAAGTGTCAACTGTCAAGCATTTCCGTTGTTACTGGTGCATTATAAACCACTCCACAGCTTATAAATATTTCAATTGCATAAAAAAATAAAAAAAGAGATTTAATCTGTCTTTGTATTTTCAAGTTGAAAATCTGATCTGAACATTTCTAGACACTACAAATGGTGATTTGTAGACACAAATTTTAAATATATAGTTATAGACTTTTCTGTAATTTTAAAAACACATTTAAATATATGAAGCGTTTTGGCCTATGGTATTTTTTTAAATAACTATCCACTTTAAAATCCATAACGACATTTTAAACGCGGGAAATCACTTATCTGTCTACCTGATTTACAAATTGAATATTCAATGAAAAATTCGAAGCCATTTGAAGTGCTACAATGAGGAAACATTTATTTTGATTGTATAGTTTCCATTGTTTTTCCATTGCAATAAAGTCAAGACATGATCAATGACCTGTTTTTCTTACATTTGTAGCTTCATTAATTTTAACGATTTTAGAAACATGATCCTTCTGTAACAAGTGCTTCCTTATCGAAATTAATTTCTTAACGTGAATGCGTCATACAGTTTCTATTTGTTTATTTTCAAGTTGATTATTTGGACATCTGTGTACTTTTTATAGCTGTGCCCCCGACTTCGTTCGCGTGGAATAGTGACTTGGGGTAGAATTTTTAATTATTTAGGCTGTTTAATAAATTATGTAATTGCGCATTTATCACAGCCATGCTAATATAATAATAATAATATATAAGCATGTAAAGTAAAGTAGCACTACTTTGCCGCAACACTCTCACTCCCACTCTCTTCTAGCTTCAAGAACAACGAATTTCCATACAAACTTTCACCCCCCCCCCCTTTATCCCCTTACAACCCCCTTTTCACAATAATAGTATCCTATAAGTAGTCGTAGTTTTAAGTACGTAATTTTTTGTTAAAAATAATATTATTATTGGTTTAAAAAAATAACAAACCTCTTCTGTAATTAAATGGTCACCGTGAAGTTCACCAAGACTTGGCCTCTTCAAAGCTCGTTTTGAATTCCTATAATTTTCCATTCGTGGCAGGGCTTCTCTGGTGAGTTGAGCCAAGGATCTCTTTCTTCGCCACCCAGCGTCGTGTAACCAAGTGTCAGGTTGGGGGTTTGGGTCGCCTCGCTCCACAGTTTCCGCGGAATTCCGCAATGGTCTTGTAATAATTGCTGCCCCCATATGTATTCCATTCTTCTTTCCGTCATTTTCCACGGCGGTTACCGAGAATCTAAAAATAGACCAAATGTTACTCTAGTTCATTCACTCCAGTTTATGTGTCTTTTAAATGACCAAAATGATATTTTTTCTAAGTTTAGTGCAATCTAATCCATATTATATATAATAAAATCGAAATAGTCATCATTCTATTAACGTGAACCTATCACAAGTTTTAATAATTGTATAACATTTATACGAAAATGTAGTCGGTATGACAGACGTCAGAGGGCATTTAAGTTTTATTAACACAGTTCAATAACCGATGTTATTGACTTAATTATTTACGGATTAACATTCATGGAAATGTTAATGGAGTCGAATTTGACGTAACTTGGTCGATTTTTTTAAATTCTCAGATCTTTGGAGGTTCTTATAGTGTTGTTTTTTAGCCCTCGAAAATGTTTCCAGGTCTCGAAGCACAGTGCTGGTGACACATGTCAGATTTTCAGTTTCAGTACCTGGTGGTCACAATTAACGACTGGAGTTCAAACTTCCTTCCTCATAAACCACGGGCGACAAACCACAAGTCTAACAATTCCTTACTCTTCTTGTTATAATTGAAAAATAAATAATGAGATATAAAAATAAAACTATAAGTAAACAGACCTGTTTTCTTCTTTCATTCCCATATTCGAATTGTTATTCACGCCAAATTGCGAACTATCGGAAACCATTATTGTTAAAGGGAATAAATTTACTATCGCATAATATTGTCATAATCTAAGAAATCCTTCAGTTTCACAGTCAAGGCGTTAAATCTGAAACAAAAGAAATTCATCACGTATTAACTCATTGTTTACAAAGTAAGTAGAATTCTAAATAGAAGCATAAAATAATTTAGAGATCGATTTGTGTTAATATTTTAATTGCTTAAGTGTGTTAACCTTTGCTAAATGTAAGCTTGTTAGAATCTCGTTTTATGATAGTGGAAAATCCGGGGAAACACTTAGGAAAGGTGAAATTCCGGCCTAAAACGTCTAATTAATCTCAATTGGCGATGTCGACCTATTTTGGCTTTGTACATTAGGAAATTTACAGACTGACTCCGATGCACAGACATCCTTTTTCTAGTAGTGCCGGGAAATTAATTATTTGTTTTCTGTATGTTTTGAAAATCATTTACTATGTTGGAGTCAGTGGTAATCGAATCCGCGACAGGTTATTGTTGGAAATACGTTCCTAACATTAGATCAAGGAACCTGTTAAAATGTTAAGTTCACTTCTATGCATATATTTCTTAATAAATGTACACATTCAAAAAAGGAACGTCAAAAGAAATAATTTAGGGATTCTTGAATTACAATTACTGACTAAAATGACAGTGTCAATTTGAGTTAACAAATAATAAAGCTACAAGAAATATCGCATTTTCGGCAGTTATAGAAAACCTATCACTCATTCAATATTTATTATTTAACTACTACTAAAATGCGTAAGTCTTGATGACAGAGATGGGACTTAAACCCACTTAACAACACCACTGCTTCCAGAATTATACTACAGTGTCATATCTACGTTCATCCTGTTACGCCAGGGATGGCTCAATATAAAAAACTCTGAATTATTGAAATTAAACATTTTACTGTTAAATAAATTCACCAGTTAAACTTAGGCTAAAGCTCGACGAGTTTTAGAGAGCGTTGGCCGGCATTGGGTGGCAAGTCCGCAGGCTTTCGCGTCAGCGTAATCCAGTTCCAACTAACGTTAACCAGTAAATGAATGACGAGTCACCCACAGCGCGCGCACGTAATCGTCATTCAAGTTTACGGGTCAGCCCCTAACATTCGGAACCGGGTCTTAGCTTAAAATCAAACAAAATTAACATACACGCGTTTACAGCGTAAGGTGACGTAAAGCATCTGAGCTCAAACTACGTGGAAACTACTGCCATAACGCTCTTTTAAAGGGTTCAAAGAGCTTTATGGTAAAAAGGGGTTTGTTCGCGTTTTTTATTGATAAATCGTGATAAGTACGTAGTAAGTACGTGATTTTAACTGTTGGAAACAGTAAATGTATTAGTCAATTAACACTAAGTTAATACCAGACGTTTTAGTTAAAGTAAAAAATGTTTTCTAAGGCTTTAAAAGTGCTCGTCTAGGAAGGTAAAGCTTTAGATTGCACTCTTATTTACTAAATATTTTTATAAATGATGACACGACTCTCCTTGGATGAATTATGGCATATAAACAACACTAAAATGGTATCACACTTAGGTAAACGCAGACACCAAATATTTAATTTATTATGAAATTTTTTTGTTTAAGAATACCAAAAAGGGATTTATTCAAGGTGACATTGGTAAACTGTGAAATAAACGAAGATGGTGTCTTATGCAAGACGCCATTAAAGGACTCTTGTTTAAAAGTTTAACACCTCTGAGACAACATGTTTAAACAAGCAGCTAGCTGATAGTTTAAACGATTAGATCACAATTTAATAAGGCTATATCATTTTCTTGTATATCTTTGCGTAAACAATTCATTATTACTAATATTTATGGAACGGTAATTCATATCTATTGTCTGTAATGTAAAGAATAAAATAAGGAGTTACTAATATTTAACTTTACTTTTGTAGATATCAAATAGCATAAATTATCCTATTTCTCACAACTAACTTTTAACTTGCATCCATAGCAATAAGATTTTTACGGGTTTTAAGCAATAATAAAATCAATATTATATATAGGAGGACGAATATTGCCTTCTTAAGAGAATGCTTAATAATTTTAATAAGCATTCTCTTAAGAAGGCAATATTCGTGGTAATACATAAGAAAGCATAGTGGTAGTTGTGTGCAAAGCAAGTAGCATTAATGGAATCATCGAAAATCATCCGCAAAGGCGGTAAGGGGAATTGGGAAAGTGTGGAATGGTCAGCATATGATTTTGACTGATCCAGCTTACTATCGGTTTACCCAAAAAAAAGGTAATCATTATTATTAAAATATACGAATATTATCTAGTAATAAAACAATAATTGAATAGTTGACTGCATTAAACCGTTTTAAAAAATATACGCAAGTATATTGATTGTGCGCAACGCTTAGCGGCTTGTAATTTCCACTGAATCATATACCTAATAATATCTAACGTGCGACTGAGTAACGTTCATAAAATATTATTGTAAATTTTATTCATATTTCTTGTATACGCCACGAAGTCTAACGTTTCTCATTATCCTCACACACAGCATCTAGCTAACAATTGCCAAAGCATGTGACTTGCATTAAATTCATTAAATTATAAACACAATGCGATCTACCTGCCGGCGCTTATGATCTTATCTGACATTTATCACCCACGTTAACGACATATCTGAGAAAAAATGTAGTTTTACCTCCTCATTATCGCAATGATAATCTGGTATGAAGAAGTGTACCTGAGGCGCGTGTAAGAGCCTAAAGTACTAAAATCCCCGTATGAGGTAAATAAAGGGTTTGTCACCTTCCCACAATCCCCTACAAACAACAAGGACACGTGGGCGTCATTGCATTCCCTATTAACTCACTTTGGTAAAAGGCTGTAGAAGCGATAAGCGTGCGGGTACATTTGTTTTAATTTAGTTAAAACAAATGTACCTAAGACGGTGACCAAATTTTCCCACCATCTCCAATAAATAAATAGCGTATCTATGCATTAGAAACGAAGGTTTTTTGAGCTCACTTTTTTAAGTAACAGTGGCTTAATTATACGATTAAAAAGGCCTTGACAGGTATACAAGTAATTCTCAGTGTATATTCAATGTAATCATGTTATCCCACTTTTTCATTATTTACACATTTTATTAATCATAAGTGAAACCAGAAATTATATATAATCAATACTGAATTGCCTACTGATAAAGTAATGAACTAGATCTTATAATCAACTACCATCTTGGATGTCGATAGACAATCGATTACTAAATATCGAAATGGTGCTTAAATCTTTTAACATTTAGTTAGCGTTAATGAATTAATTTATATATAAGAAATTGTGCTTCTAGAGTAGAGATAAAAAATCCTAATGATTCCATGTTTTGTTACGTTTTATTAAAATAATAACTGCAGTAATGGTATTTTTCAATCTTAACATATTTGTTATATAATACTAGATTGCTATGCAACAGTACATCTGTAAACCACAGCAAAACCAGGAATATTCGAACGGACACAGCGCGTCTCATGTTTACATTATATTATATTATGTATTATTTACTATTCCGTACATTAGTCGTTAAATATACAGGAATAATATTAACTGTCTATCAGATAGGATTCAGAGAAATTAAACAGATACTGGTCTCAAGATTGTTTATATAAAACTTCATAGGATTGGAATTTATTTTTCCGGCATTAATAAATTAATTTTAAGTTGTTTATGGAATCGCTAGAATTCCGCTTCTATTCGGTTGGTTTTGGGGTGTTATTTGTATGTAAAACGTATTCTTAGTTTGTAAGAATGACTGTTCTACCTAATGTAACAATTTAACGTCCTGCAAATAAATATGACTACTATTAACTATTAAAATATAAATTTATTAGCAATCACAAAAACTATGTAAAGATTAAATCGTTTAGTTGTTTCTTTTAATGTTGCAAGTAATGTGTTACTAAGAAACAATAAACAGAGATGTCTTGATGAGAGTAGAAAGTTAGCTAGGTAATAAAAATGGGTTTGGTGTCATTATTTGTAAGCAGTTAACAGGAAAACAAATCGGAGTGTTAGTTTTTTTTTTAATTATAATTGAACTTCCTTCATAGTTAAAGTTTTTTAGTATCGTAATAATGAACAAGAGTCAAAAGATGATAACGCGTAACGATGTATCCACATGAGAATATTCATGAAAAATTTAGGTAATAAAACAATATAATCTACTATCTCAAAGTACTCACCTAATGAAACATTTATTAATTCGCTACTAACAGTCACAAGATAAAAAGATTGTCACTTCTACTTTCACTCAAACATTTTTAAACATATGTTGTATAAACTTTAAAAATTATTTAGTGAAATGCACGAATTTTAACAAAATAATTCATAACTTCGTGTGTTTATCTGATTCTCGCACATTACTTCGCGAGGAGGTAAATTACGAACAAAAGGCGCGTGCGAACTGAGGCACAGCCATCGCACCAGACTCGCGAAGGCTTCGCAACGCGAATTTATAACGATATTGCGCCCTTACATCTCATACGAACAATAATTTTTAATTAGATCTAGTTGGGACGAGATTTCTACCAGTTTTGACGGTTCGCATTCTTACGAACTTCACTCCCGAGTCTCGTTACTTTATTTTTAGATATACCCTCATAACAATATTATTATATTTACATTCGAGATCGAATCAATACGGAGCAAATCGATTTCGAAGCGGTAGTATATCGATAAACTTGGTGTAGATTCGGGGGAATTGTGTCTATTATAAGAACATCAATGTTTTCCTTTGTCATATATGGAAGAAGTACATTTTCGAACATTTCTGATTATATTTGTGTATATATGGAAACAATAATAGGCGGACGGCAACAGTATACTTATGGACGGGCCTGTAAAAGGAAGAGGGGTCAGCGAGACTAGTAGCGCGATGGAACGACAATAAGCGACCTCCCCGAAACCGGGAAGCCTAGACTACTTATGAGGGTTCCTAGTGACCTATGTTATCTAAGTATCTTTAAATAATATTGTACTGAGTAATTCTTTGAAAAGTCAACTTAAATTAAAAGATGTACAACGAAATTACTACTATATATAATTATTACTAAATATACCTAAATACTACAATTTTAATGAAATAAAGCCTTTGTTTTTTTATATTTGGAAACTAGTATTACTACTGTAAACTAAGTATGGTTAGTTAAAAAGCGTTTATTTAAAACCACCGTTTTATAACTAGGAATTATAAAACATCATTAGTTTTGAAAAGCCACAATTTAAATGCAATTCACACGTCCCTACAAGTAGAAATATACACAAGGTATAATTTTAGTAATGACTAGGTACAGATTAGTACTCACAACGAAATTATACAAAAATATGTACACTACTGACCAGATTTATATCTACATTTTATATATGTAAAAGAATTATACAAAATAACGAGATAGGAGGAGGCGGACCATGACGAAGTTGTGACTCAAAGCACGTGTAGTTGCGAAGACTTAGCATACCAACAGAAGCTCATACTGTTGTGTTCAGAACAATATAAAATTAAGCTATCGAAATAAATTTGTCTCCTGCCTTAACGAATGTTTTAGTATTCTTATATTAATGGAGCTTATATAAATAGGTATTTGTGTCTTATTTACTGCAGTGGCATGTTGTATTCATTTAATATATTTACTATCCTGTTTATTTTGCCAGTGCTATTGTTTAGCTATTCAATAATCATATACAACAATTACTTGAACAATTATTATTACAAAATATTTGTTTTATTGCCTCTTTTAGTTTTCCTTTATTATTCAGTAGCGTTAACACTCGTGAGTGTAATGTGTATAGAATAATATTGTTGTTAATTCCAGTTAGTGAAAATTAATAGATTTTGATTTATTTCGGAGGATGCTGTAGGGAATATGAATAGGGGGCAGGGTGAGAAATTATATAATAAAAGATTTTTCAATAACAAATCAAGTTGGTTATAGGATTTGATAAAAAAACAATAAACGAATACATTTTATCATCGGTTTAATAACCAACCCTTTTTATCCTGCATATAAATCCTACCTTAGAATTATTAAAACTATATTTTGTAAACTTTTTCTGGATACGGTCACAAGACCATAAGAGATGTTAGACAAACAACCATGGCAATGACGAATATCACTTGCAATTCAGATCTTAGTGGCTAAATGCGGTTAGCGCCAGATATAACTGACCAAGACTTCAGAATGAGCTTGAATTTCAGTATTCATCAGTTATACTTTAAATATATTCGTTGTATTTTTATGAATCATCATAAAACCACTTGATCACCACGCATATTGTTGATGACAATACTGGCAGTGCGCAAGTCAAATGCGCTAAAATTTCAAGTTCAATGTGTTTCAGAGAAATAAGCAATGTTTTTAAACACGATATTGCTATGTGTTAAAAAGTAGGCGTTAAAAATTGAAATGGACTAGAGTAGGGCCTTTCTTATTTTTCGATGTATAAAAACTCCTTTTTACTTGTGTGAATAAGTACACTTATCTATATCTTCTAGCCTCAAACATTTCCAATTCTATATAAGTTGTATATAATAAGAATTTTATTTTACGCCCATAATATCAAAAACCTCATTTATTATTAAATAGAAGGCAAACCATTGATATAGCAATTATAGTTTGAAAATAAATAAATATTTAATCATTTCCATATGCAAACAGTTTTATGCATAAGCACGGGTATTAATTTATCATAAGAAAACATCAAAAAAATGTGTTCACAAATATACTTTATTGTACACAAGCAAACATTGAAGTCTTAATCCTAGGAGCAAGCAGTGTTCTACTTGAGAGGAATGAACCTGGAGCTGTGGGTGGCACCAATACCAGGCCTACCGTGTTTGACGGGCTTGTATGTTACAGAGAACTCGCCTAGATAGTGGCCGATCATCTCAGGCTTGATTTCAACCTGTAATAAATAAATTAACATTCATATCATAAAAGGGACACTTCAACCTATTTTATTCTTTTACAATCTTAGTTGAATAAACAGAGTTTGCATATAAATTGCAAAGCTTTTTAGTTTTAAATTTCTTATAATAATCACAATTACAAGAGTAGTTATTACATAAGATCGGCAAGGCAGTAACTCAATTGGAATAAGTATGATTTAGCTAGGTGTAACATATTTTTGAAATTTCAGCTGTACTTTGTGCAAATTATGATTTAACTATAAAAAAGAAACATTTCATACATACTCTATATGAAAAATTGTATGACTTATGATTTGATCAATTTTGAACTATGCTACTGTTATAGGAATATCATGTTGTGACTTCAAGAATTTTAAGTAAATTTAGCAGCTTTATAGAACGAAATGTGTACCTGATTGAATGTCTTTCCATTGTAAATACCGACAATAGATCCAACCATTTCTGGGACAATGATCATGTTCCTCAAGTGTGTCTTGACAATTTCGGGTTTTTCATTTGGTGGTGCTTCTTTCTTGGCACGACGTAGTTTTTTAACTAAAGCCATAGGCTTCCTTTTAAGACCACGAGCAAACCGCCTTCGTGCACGAGCGTGCATTAATTCCATAAGTTGTTCACTAAAAAAGATTTCAGGTTATAAATATAATAACTAATTAATAGTCGAGATCAACAAATCTTTAAATATTATTTCTAGAATAAGTTTAACTACTGATATACAAGTATAAATAATGGTAAATAACTTATATAGTTCGGCAAAGAAACCAAATGCAGGTTAAGACCCAATGAACATAACCCCATCATAAGTCATAAAAATAAAGTAATACGTACTTGGGCATATCAAGAAGCTGATCCAAGTCGACACCTCGGAAGGTAAACTTCCTGAAGGTACGCTTCTTCTTCAAAGTTTCGTCGACCTGCGAATAATAATATTGTAAACAACATTTTGTCACTTCCAGAAATATCACTTTTAAAACTTGTTTTATGTGAATCGTAGTCGGTCACGATTGAATAGTTTGATATATTGGCAAAGATTGTAAAAATTGAGTCGGATAAATATTTTTTTTAAATAATTTACGAACCTCAGCCATGTTTCAATACTAATGACAGATCAAAAAGAAACTATTTTGACAATGTACTTTGAGTTGGGGGTAATGGCCAATACCGCAAAACTTGTCATTCGTCTACATTTAACATAGAGTATACACAAGGAACTTTCTAAAGGAACTGTGGTAAAATAATTGGACGCAATGTTGCCAGGATATTGACGATCAAATGTTTAATAATCGTATAGTATAATAACACCAATGACATTTTTTATTCTAAGAATTCTCTCTTTAGATTCTAGCCATCAGTATTATTGCCTGATTATCAGATTTAGAGACAAAGTCACGTAATGGTTCTATTCGTACTAATCTTGATGTTTTGGAATTTAGCTTTATCCTCTATACTCGTTTTTACCCTCTGCCTTGGCCTTATATTGACTCTAAACCTCTACTCTAGGGCGATAGCAATTCAAAAATATGATTTATTGAATAAATAACAAAGAGATTGTTATACAGAACTATATTAAAAGACCAATGTGAAGACATAAATAGTAATCATTACAAGGTGAAGATGGTATTTAGGTATCATCTTCAATGTTCCTGATGATGCAAAGTATTTCATTCTCTACTATTTTTTTGGAGGGCAAGTAGGTATATGGCGGTCAGACTGAACTTGACCTCTACTTTTTCTCGTTGGAGGATCGTCAACGTACTCGTAGTAGCAGTGGCCGTCCCACCACCAAGCGGGGCCCGGCGTTGGTGGTGTATTGAAACATATCTGTAACCACATTAAAGTATTGTTATAAATCAACAAACTATGTATTAGGTATAACTATAAGTCCATTTCGGGTCTCGGTTCCTGTGGGTATCCGAATGGTTAAAACTTAAATTATACCGCAAATTTTAAATAAAACACTTTAACGGTTTAAAACGCGTATTGTTAAACTATTTGAAAATGATTTTTAACTTCGGTCGACGTTTCGGATCTTTAGGTGTTGCGTTAAAGTGTTTTATTTAAATGTGTACTACTCGCGTAAACTATAGAGAGTATTTAATTATACCGCAACTGCTTTTTATCTTATTTTATATTATCCTTCACTGTCACAAAGACGGTCTTTGTATGAAAGTGTTAAAATCTTACGGCATCAGGTTTTAGTGGGCCAGTCTTTTTTGACCGGTGGTCCTTCTGCAACCGGCGCAACAATGGGTGGGTGGACAGAGTGATAAGCGTTTCTGTCATGGTAATAGTGGTTGGAATATTTATAATCTGGGCATCTTGGAATATCCGGGGGCGGTATTGTCCGCGGTGCTAGATAAGGTGGAAAACGACCGTGCAAATTATGCTTCCTTCCGAGTAAAATTTCTCGGAGTTTTTTAAAGAACGCTGAAACGTCTCTTACTTCTTTGGACATTTTTGAATTGCCATATTTTGATGGCACTATTTGTCTATGATAGAGTCAGTTCCTAAAAAGGATCTGTATGGGTCAAAAAATATCAAACTCTAAGGCAAAACTTGTAATTGTACCTCACAATGACATTATAATCAAACATGCATTTTACATAAACAACTTTATTAAGTTAATTCTTATTTAATTATCTTAAATTTATATAATTATGTGATATAGATAATCCTTTAATTTTTGTACAACTTTAAAATGTCAGCATTTATTTAAGTTAAAAAGGATATTTAATCCTAAGTACGTAGAAACTTAATGAGAAAAATAAAATATTTTAAAGGCACTGTCATGTTTGTCTGAATATGATATTGATTAAGCCTTAGTATTTACATCATATTGTCTATAGACAGTACAATTTCTCTGAACATATATAGAGTAGTACACATTTAAATAGAAAACTTTTAAGGGGTTTTTTACGAAATATATTAAACTACATACTTTTACTCATTAGTTAATTTGCCTGACGTTCCAATGCAATGCAGCAGTACCTAGTTAAAATAAGTTAACCAATATATTTCGTGTTTTAAACCTGCAAAATGTTTTATTAAAATAATATATAGATATTTAAAATAACTTAAGGTATGAATCACTGTTTTACTAATTCATATATTTTTTTAAACTTAACACTAATTAAACTGAAATGCCTATGCTGTTAATTAGTCTTAACAATATAAACAGGACTTTAAAATACCTTTACATTCACGAAGATTTTACTTTTGCCAAAAAAGCATTAATACCTAATTGATTTTTCTCGAATTTTTCTATTTTTTGTTTATTGCCTTTTGCTACAACTTTTTTCTTTTTCTTTTTTTCTGCAGTTGGACTATTTTGTTCAGTGTCTGTGGCAATTTCTTTCTTTTTCTTTTTAGTTTTTTTCTTTTCTGTCATCTCTGGTTCAGCTGAAGGTCGCATCAGCGGAGTGGGATCATTCATAATCATGGTTACTTTGCTGAAATAATTCCACAGAGCATCAACACATTTTTCGGGTTTTCCACCATCAGCAGTTTCCCATAATGGACCGTAGAGTCGAGGTTTCAACTTTTCCATTGGTTTTTTTAACTCAGATTCAAATTCATCTTCTAAGTGTTTCAATTTAGCCTTTTGTGTTTCTGGCGAGAGAGAGAGTACATCATCGTCGTCCATGGTAGCTTCCTGCAAATAAACAGGATTATTATTGGAAAATCCAATAACAAAAGAACAAGAATAAAACATGCAATATTGCGTTAACGGTAAAGGAGACCAAGATTCGAATCTGGTGATAAAAAATGAAATAATTATAGAAAGTTGGTTATCTACTGGCCTTAAAAAAACATATTCAAGTAAAGAGATGTAATTAACTTGGGACTATATGAATTGTATAAAAGCTGAAGAAAAAAGTACAGTCAACTCACCTCATCACTGAGATAACCATGCGGCACAAATACTTCGTTGTCCACTTCATATTCATCAGGTTCCTGCTCATCGTCGCTGCCAGCAGCACTTCCGTCTATACTCTCTCCATCCTCTTCCTCCCATTCTTCATCACTGTCCACTTCATAGTCTAATTGATTCTGAAATTGTATAGATAATTGTTTTTGTTCAAAATGGACCATGTTGCCACTTATCTAGAATAAATTAATGATAAGAAAAATATACTGTTTAAAAGCAGACCATATTTTTTATTGAATTTTCTTTAATATAAGTTATTTTTTCATTGATTATCTGCTAATAACTTTAGGCTTTTAATAGTTTGTAGTAGAATAATAATTTAATGCTTTTTTTTTAAATTAATTTTTTATGGAAATATCTCAGTATCAACAAAAGACATATATACCTGATCCATTTTAAATGGCTTCCTAGGATTAATAAAGGCACTTTTCTTCCTCCAGGTACCCCAGTAAGGCGGACGTCTGTTTTCATGAAAACTAAGAAGTTTTGGACGAAGTTTTTCCCGGACACCACTGTCGCATGAGATAATCTCACCAGCACCGTCAATAGGAGGCAGTTCATCTTCTGAAATAACAGAGCCAATATTAAAGTATTTTATCATTGAGCAAAAATTGATGTATGCTAAAAGTGAAATATATAGTTAACGTCAAAAATAGTCATAAAATTAACAATAAAATATTAGCTTACAAAACTAAACTAAGTACTATAAAAAGCGGTAACTGTTTCTTTTCATAGTACTTACTACAGTAATGTTAACTATGGAAAAATTATTATTTTAATTTAAATAAAACATTTTAACGGTTTAAAACGCGATATATATATATATATATATATATTAGTTAAACTATTGATTGCTTTGCAGCGTGACTACGTAAAATAATTCCAAATAAGTTAAACTGTTATATATTGCGTTTGACCTATAAGTGTTTTATTTAAATGTGTACTTGCGTAAACTACGGACAGTACACTTTAGATTATTAGCTCAAATGGTATTGCAGTATCATTCAAGTTGAAAAATCACATGACCTTTTTTTGAAACTTACCCACAATCATAACATCATTATCATTTTCACTCAACGGCCAAGTTTTACCACTGCCTAATGGTTTAATGTTGCCATTCCTAATACTTTTAATGTACAACTCGCTAACATCCTGTTTATCTAAAAACATTTCCAGTGCCTGTTTTCTTTCTTTCGTCAAGGGATTTCTTACAGCTGGTGCTAATCTCATATCTGCTTTTATTGTGAAATTTGAAAGCATATCATTATTACTAAGACCCACTGTTATTTGATCCTTTTCAGTCTTCTGTTTTGGTACAAAGAAACTAACAAATGCTTCAGCCGCCTTTTTCTTTTTATGCTCTTGTTCTTGCTTTTCTAATTCTAGAGCCTCCTGTCTTTTTCTCTTTTCTTCCTCTTTGGCTTCCTTTTCTTTTTTCTTTTGCTCCTCTTTCTCTTCTTTTTCTTTACGTTTCTGTTCTTCTTTTTCTTCTTTGAGTTCTATAACAAAATATAAAACAAATATATACATTTAAAAAACACATGGACTTGATATCAAAACCATTATGATATTAACAAAACATTACTTTTTTCAAGCTCTTTTTGTTTTTCTTTTTCTTCTTTCTCCCTTCTTCTTTGCTCCTCCTTTTCTTCCTTTTCCTTTCTTTTAGCTTCCTCTTTTTCTTCTTTCTCCTTTTTCTTCTGTGCCTCTTTCTCTTGCTTTAGCTTTTCCTTTTCTTCTTTCTCTAGTTGTCTTTTTTTTTCACGCTCCTCTTTTTTCTTAGCATATTCCAACTTTTTTTGTAACTGGAAATATAATGCTAGTTATAGGCACATAAAAATTTGTACACCAACTGATTTAATAAAATTATGGAGATATTGTTATTTCTTAAACAATTTTAGATTAAAGACCACTATTGTATTTAATAGGATAATATATTTTGCCAGTCTAGATTACTATTATTAATATTAATGTAAATTCTGTATTATAAAATAGCCAACTTAAAGAGAGTTGTATACCTCTATAAAGAAACAAAAAAATTTACCTGTTTAGGTGTCAGATTATTGTTAGGAGATTCAGTTGTTGTGTTGTTTTCTTCATTTCTGACCACTGAAGAGCTTCTGGTTGACCTTTTAGGTGTATTTTGATTAGATCCAGCCTCTGAACTGCTAACTTGGGATGAGTTTAAACTTTTATCAATAGATTCTGCTTTCTGCCTTGCTGATCTTCTTGGTGTCGTTGGGCTTACTACAGACTTGAATTTATTTAAGGTTTTTTCTTGGAAAGATGGTGCCTCACTATTATCTAAATTTAGAGTTTTGTCAGAGCCACTTCAAGATTTGAGTCCTCTAATATTATAATGCTATTAGTAGTTTCTGCTATAGCAAATTCAATACTCTGCGATAGTATTTTATCAGATGCTATAGTTACAGTTTCATTAGGTTCTGGCATGGTATCAACTTCCATCTCAGTGTCAACATCATCATTGTCTATTTCATTGACCTCTTCATTGTCTTTAATTAGCACAGTTGCATTTGTTTTTGACTTAGGGCCCCTTTTCTTCTTTTTCGATTTCTGTAATTTCTTTTTTCTTGCAGAATCAACCAATTTAACAAAAGGATTAAGTTGCTTTCCGTTTTCTTTAGGTTCCTGATTAGACTCATCCTTGCTTTCATCGTCGCTGACAACAACCAATTCGTTAATAACATTTTCATTAATAATTTTTCCAACTTTTGTCACTGGTTGTTGATCTGGTACAGATAACTTTCTTTTTCTTGTTTGTATTACCTCCGCTTTTGGTGAAGTTTCGGTTAAAAGTTTAAATGGAAGACGAGCTTGTTTTAGTTTTTTTTTAGACGGAGTCACATCTTCATTTTCAGGAGATTGTTCTGGTTTCATACTGGGTAAGCAAAAGTTCTAAGTTTAATTTAATGAATCTTTCACGAAAAGTTTGCAGCACAGTGGATAGTTCAACAAAGTATGTTTTTCCCTAGTGTGAAATATTAAATCTTGTTTATAGTTACTTATTTAAACTATATCATAAATGAAAAATGAAATAAATCGCAAACTCAACGTGAGACTACTCAATTTACAAACAAAAATTTTGATAACCAAATACGCGGGAAATATGACAATTTACTGACAATTGACAACTATTCTCCACCACAGATTACATATGCTAATAAATTTCATATTTCTCTTAATCGTAAAATTTTTGTAAATTGACGCCTTTTGTGTAAAATAATAAAGTTTTGTTGACTATTCATTCTTACATAGGTCCATCCCTAACTAAACTTTTTAAGTTGTTTATTTGTATATTCTTTGGCAAAATTAATATACGATTTGTATCGCTTTGTCAGTGACAGTCTATACAGATGTAAAGAAAATAATGTTTTCTGTAAGGGTCTGTGGTAAGATTTCAATTAAATTGAGTGAATCATAACTGTGGACGATACATAAAATATTTAATAAATATTCGGCTCGTCTAACATTATTAATTTATATTTATAATGTTGTGCACCGACATCCTTGTCACTTAAAAATAAAATTAGTTTATAAAGTGTTGAGTAATAATTTGATTCGTGCTTAAATGCCTTGACAAATACCAATCATGAGTAAAATGTCGAAGAATAAATTAAACCTGACCCTTCCACCGGGGTCTATAGACACGGCTCCAGCAGTAACACCTTCTAATATGACTCCACAGCTCAAATCTGCCACAGCTTCGGAGTAAGTTGATTTAATTATATAGTAATAATATTATAGTAGTGTATGGGCGCTGACTCGAAGAACTGCGAGACTGCTTACTGCTTATGCTATAGTTAAAAAAATGCAAATTTTACAAACCAAATTATTGAAATTCATACAGTATTTTATACAGAGATATATGGAAACAAAAATGCTTGAAAGCTTTCATATTTTTCTCAAGTGTTTGCCCATGATGGCACAATATAAGTTAAAAATCGATAATAAATTGAAAAAAATTATGACTCGGGCAGGACTTGAACCGGCATCCTCAGTATTCCATGCTGTTGCTCTAACTAATTGAGTTATAGAGTCCTGACAAAAATACTGCTGTAACTGCTACAAAACATACATTATCTTTGAAATTTTTTTGGAAAATCTTTAATAATTATTACTTCCTCCACATTATTAATCTATTTAGTATAAATTTTACTGAGTGTGAAAAACCAAAGATGAATACATAATTAGGTATTTAGGTATAAAAATAAATAAATCACTAAATATTGGCATAATTGGTTTACTTTTGTATGCAAACTTCTTATAAAGCTAATTAATGATTACTGCAACTATTTGTGTTTAAAAGTATGTATTACTAATTGATAAGAAACACAAACTGATAAGCTGTTGCATTTCCAAACATATCTAATTTACATACATACAATTATTCTTATAGTTGCATGTTTAAAATGGTTTTTACTGTAATTTATATTCTACTGTAAGGGGTGTTGATTTACAATTAATTAAAACACTATTAAGGGCGACTAGATTTACACACATATTCTGTTGCAGACATTTTTAGAAATCATCCGTTTATACCTTTTAGGTATCTTGAACTTATTCGCAGGGTATGTTCGCAATCTAAGCCGCCAAAGACAAATAATTTTTCCTGTTTTTTTTTATTATTTCTTTGCTCCGATTGGTCATAGTGTGTTGCATTTAAACAAACAAACTCTTAATAATATTTGCATAGACATATGTTTTCAAGCTTCCTGCTAGGCTTTTTTAAAGGTCTTGTACTCTTGCACCATACAATATAATAATATTTAAATAAACCTTTTTTATTTATCTTGGAAAATAAATTACCTCATTATAAGACACTATTTTGTTAAGACCTTTTTATAGGAGGCAAGGCTTAGCTGGAAAATCTAAAACAAGCATTGAGGCTCTAACAGAAAGGCTAGAACAGATTGAGATGGATGACACACAAAGGAGAAGAATAGAAGTATTTCTCTGCCAAAAAGAGAAGATTGGAGAGCTGAGTGATGATGACTTTGAAAAATTAGGAGAACTTGGTAATTTTATGAAACTTGTAACTCTAAATGTCTTAAGAAAAACCTGCTTGTTCTAGGATAGAAAAGTCTATGACCTGGGTCTTCTGCCAATGTTGTAAAGAAACACTTTATATATCCTCCAAAGAGGCCTAAATCCAAGCAGTGAAAAGTAATACAATTATGATGATGGTTCATTAAGGAAATAAAATAAATTTAATTAATCCACAAATCATATTACTCTAATGTGTCAAAAAATTTCCTTAAAATCAAAACCAATGGATTTTTTGTTGTACTAAGCTGATTATTATATATTACATGTATAATAAATAAGTTGATTAACTTTTAGGACAAGGAAATGGTGGTGTTGTGATGAAAGTGCGCCACAAATCAACAGGTCTCATAATGGCCAGAAAGCTTATACATCTTGAAGTGAAGCCGGCCATCAAGAAACAGATTATAAGGGAATTAAAAGTTCTCCATGAATGTAACTTTGCACATATTGTTGGCTTCTATGGAGCATTCTATAGTGATGGTGAAATATCTATCTGTATGGAATATATGGATGGCGGATCTTTAGATTTGATCTTAAAGAAGGCTGGCAGGATCCCTGAATCAATTCTAGGTGAAAACAATGGTGTTCTTCTATGGATAAGAGTTAAAAAATTAAATGTTGATAAAAGTTTTTGCCTTGTGGTGCATGACAATTTATGCATGATAAAAATTTTGTGATTTTTTATTTATTTTTAGACAAAGATTGAAATGCTAGGATTTGACATTTGTTGTGCATTTGAATGTGGTTTGAACCTCATTAATTTTTGTCACCATTTAAAATATTCTTCAACTCTTGAGTTGATACTGTCTGTTGAACTTGGTTTAAAACGTGATATATTTTATTAAACAGTATTTTTTTAACTACGGCCCGATGTTTCGGGATGCTTTGCAGCAGCCATGGTCACGGGGAAACGGTTAAAGTGTCTTAACTTGATGTTTGAACATAATTTTTAGTAGCTTTACATAAATTGTATTGTAACATTATGGTTTTTAGTATTATAGCAATTCTAATAACAATACTGACTATATATGCGACTTTAACCTATATAAAAGTTTTGTAAAATCTATTTCAGGGACAATTACGTCAGCAGTTCTCAAAGGACTAAGCTACTTGCGCGATAAGCATGCGATAATGCACAGAGATGTGAAACCATCAAACATACTGGTGAACAGTAATGGAGAGATCAAGATCTGTGATTTTGGTGTATCTGGACAGCTTATTGATTCCATGGCAAACTCGTTTGTTGGTACACGGAGTTATATGTCGGTCAGTTTATTTTTTATATTTTGTTTGTCATAGAAGAGAGGATAAGAACTCCAATCGCTCCAGCTTTTGATGATAACCAGGCCTTATAGCGTAACCAACCAATTTAGCAACGAGGCTGTTGGTAGACTATCATATTTTATTTTGTCTAACTTTCAAAGATTTTAAAGCAAATCATACAGCATCTTATGAAATGTTCTCACTGATTTATATTTGCAGCCCGAACGTCTTCAAGGCACACATTATTCAGTCCAGTCAGATATATGGTCACTGGGGCTGTCTTTGGTTGAGATGGCCATAGGAATGTACCCCATTCCACCTCCCGACACAAAAACATTGGCAGCCATATTTGGAGGCCAAAACGAAGATCATTCTCCAGGCCAGGTTAGTCCTTAGATCTAAGTAAATCAAGTTTATATTATTTATTATCTAGTACACAACTAGAGCGAATAATTGTGTAGGCACTTGGTAACTACAGCCTGACCCCGTTAGATGACTTGGTTTGCTTAATTCTGACATGTCATCAAAACATATTGTACTAGCACACGTGTGTGGCTCTGTAGCACGACCACACACACATATAAATAGCATGTATAAATACCAATGTTGTGTGATAATAAATACATGTGGTTTCCTTAGCTACATCATGTAGTACCTTCGTTAAAATTGTAATACTTTTATTGTTGTAGACACTAACTTTTTTTCAATAAAATTAACAACTCAGGTATCTAACGATTATAGTAGTATCCTTTTTGAAGTATGTATATTTAGTCTATGTTTGTAAATTTGTTGGAATTTACATTAATTAAATTGAAATTTACATACAATTTTATAAAATTACATTTTTATGTATTCTATGTACAATAAATGTTTTATGATTATAGGCACCCAACTCTCCCCGACCTATGGCTATATTCGAGCTCCTAGACTACATAGTGAATGAGCCGCCACCCAAGCTGCCCCCCGGCATCTTCTCTGATGAGTTCACAGACTTCGTCGATAGATGTCTCAAGAAGAATCCAGATGAGCGCGCTGATCTCAAATCCCTCATGGTACGGTTTAAATTATATTTCACATATTAAAAAAAAATTGAATTTTGTAAATGCCTTTCGGTTACTTACTAGGTACTATATTACTTAGTTAGATGCTTGATTTATAATTTTGGGTATACAATGCCTATTTGTTTTTAGTTGTAATATGTACTGTAGCATAAATATTATTTTATTATTTTAAATTTAATTTTCTAAGTTATATGTGATTATTATTGTTATATTGTTCCAGAATCATGGGTGGATCCGTGCAGCGGACGCGGAGCCCGTGGACATAGCGGGGTGGGTATGCAAGACCATGGACCTGATGCCCTCAACGCCCAATTCCAATGTGTCTCCTTTTTCTTCATAAGCTGCAAGAAGTGCATACTTTCATCAGCGAAAAAGGGTACGTTCCTTAACTCTATATGGTATTAAGAGATGTTTAAAGAAACTGTTTTTCGTGGTTAATTAGATTTTTTTAATTTCTACTATTTAAAAACCTATTACATTTCATCTACATTTAAAACCTTGCAGCAATAATTGTAACGTAGCGCTGAAATTCAGCAACGTATATCAAAATGCGACGAATTTTACAGGTCAAAACATTTCCCAAGAGATAGCGGGCGAGACAATCAGTGAGGACGCAGGCGCAGAGTAGCCCCAAACAGGCCGCAGTATGTCAACTCTAGACAACCATTACACTCCGAACTAACAACCTATTGACCAATCCAGCCGACCGATCGTAGAGACCTTAACCTCTGTACACTCCTGGACTATTTTTACTGATTCGTCTGCTCTAGTTCACGATACTCGAATCGAATGAATTTCGATAACAGAACGTCATTCGCGACTGAACGATCCGTTCGTTCATTCAAGCCGTACGGAAATCATAAAGCTGTGATGCAATAATGTCTAACTTCCTCCTCATATAGCCGGCTATATGACGCAGCGACAGTGGGAATCGGGCAAAGTTAAACCTTCGGGGGGGCAATTCTCAACCGAGAGACATACGATTTACGAATCTTGTCACCATTGCCCCACCGATGTAGGGTGCGATACTAAAACATAGTGCATTCGCGTGAAAACTAATCGAGGGGTTCTAAATAAATAATCAAACATCTAATCGATAAATGGTCAAGTAGAGTTGATTTCACTAGTTGCAAGTCGAAAATAAAATTGTTAGTAGTGTTTTGACATATTTTTCTTTGCTGAAAGTGCGTAATTCATGTCAGCTGGTAAATGTTATTAAAATAGTGATGCCGACGGCATCGAGCCTTGGAATACTCAAACGGCGGCGCGGCGCCGGCGTGGGAGCGTTCCAAAACTCCACTATCATCTAGTTATCTTGTAAAACGCATTTTTGTAGAAAATACACTAATAAAAACATGTAAACGAAAAAAAAAAACTTTGTAGCTACGTTTTTTCTATTTTTGACGTGTTGCACTTTTCCCCCGTTTGTTTATTCGCTTTGTTTTAGTGAGCCGCCTTACCCGTAATGCACCTAGTTCGTAGGCAACGCTACCGCAATGTGTGTTGAACGAACATTCGATACCGTTCATGAATAAATGAGTGCTATTTGTGTCTTCAATAAAACGCAGGATTCCGTAATGTAACGATACTAATATAGTACTAATATAATTTTTCACATTGCAAAGTACAATTGTACACAGTGTATTCACATGTTATTTTATCTGGGTTTCCGTATTGTACGAATATCGCAACGCTTCTACACATTGCTGTGGTCCCTTAAGAGCACTTATAATCCCGTGTGCACTTGCATGTCCGCTTGGTGTCTTTTTTGCCCCGTCTTCTTATTGTAGTGGTAAGCTTTGGTGATGATTCTTTGACGTGATGATGGCCGATCTTCAATTTCTCGATGACCTTTGAATACTTTACTAATAAGCTTCTTCCAACCAATGCACCAAGAAATACAGATACTAAAAACTACGTTTCTTGGTGAAATTGGAAATTGGACCTTATAGAGTGTCTAGCGATTGGAAATCGGCGTTTTGTTTTGCGGCGTGGTGAGCATGTCGTCTGATTGTTAGCGTCACGCTTGTCCAAGACCAGTGTCTATACGGAATTTTAAAGCTTGTGACACTGTTGAGTCGAATAGGGGGCAATTCTCGATACAGTGAGATAATATGTACAAGTGACATGTGTCAGAATCGGGTGTAAATTTTTATATCGCTTTAAAATAATGGTTCCCAATCGACTCAATTTATAGACATGCCTACTAGTTTTTATGCATTTAAATTATGTATATCGGACGAAATCCAATTATATATATTATATTGTTACTGATGTATGGTATCAGTGCCAAAACATTTTTGAACTTTTCAATTAACGGTCAATTTATTATTCTCATCCTTGTCGTCAATATCATTTGGCACACAGGACTGATTGTAGCACACACTGGTTCCTACGGAGAGCCAAGAAACACGTTTGGTATGTTTCCTGATTTTTCTTATATTCTATTTATGGAAGTTTAAATTTTACAATTTCGCGGCCATTTTGTAAAACTATTTGGGTTTTACAAACTATACGGCTGTCGGAACAGAGAAATTTCGAGAAACATTTTACAATTTAAAAAACGATTGCAAATAAAAACAAAAAAAGCTTTAAAACCCAGTAGTTCGTTTTATGGATTCGTTGCGAACCGCAGAAAAACAAAATGTACGCAACGTAATTTAACGTAATTTTGATTTTTGACGTTTTCATAATAACATATTGGTGACTGTCTCTGGTGACAGAGTGTCGCAAAACACGTATTAAGTAAGTGAGAATTTTAAATCAAGAAATGTTTTCTTGTATATAATATTATTTCGTATAATTATTCAATTTATATTTCTCCATACGCTTCGCAATTTCGTCGTTTTATTAAATAACTTTGGTGCATTTATAGATAGAAATTCTAGATAATAAGATTTGTTTTTACATATTTATTACAGGGTCATGATGTTAATATTATCAACAGCTTTAGTTTATTATATATCAATAAATACAAGGCCTTTGAATTAATTATTAAATGATCCAAAGCTCATGCGCAGAAACAGTTATTTTCAAATTTCACTTCCTGAATTCAGTCATTATTTTTATTTAAAGATAATTAATTACTTAGCTTACTTAACCATATTATTCTTCTTCGTTCTAATAAAATAAAGTAGTGCTACTGCCGTTCCAGTTAAACTGAGAACAAGGATATCTTATTTCACAATATTTTTTTAGTCTCAGTTTGAGTCTAGGCAGAACTCTTAAGAAGAATATTCTGTGTCTCTTTTTTGGGTAATTCACTTGTTCATATTTCAAAGTAGTTAGAAAGTTAATAATTTAGTTGAATCTGTTGTATCTTACATGAATAACTTATAGCAATGTTCTCGACTGTTTTAGTTTTATCTGTGGATACTTGAACAGTCCTTTTATCTATGTAAACGCGACATCGACAAACAAATCATTTTAACTGTTTAATATTTACCATTGTATCTAAATGTAGGTAGTTATTGTATTAATTTGTAGTAAGCTTCTTATTAGGTTATATGTATAAATAAATGTTAAAGGAAAAATGTGTTTTGTTTCGTTCTATTCCCTATCCGTTCTGTTTCTATTCATTCAATACAACATTGGTATAGTTTTACATATTACATCCATTTATTTACAAGTTATATCGCAATTTTAAAAACTACGATTTTTCATATAAAACGAAGCATATACGGATAAATGGATTTTCTTTCAGGGCCGAAGTATCTCATCTTCGTCTCTGTTCTATCCACGAATTGTAGGTTTTGAATGTAAACCGAACCACTTTTATATTTATTGGTGCCATCTTTTTTTTTAAATTTAACATAGACCTCTGTCAAATTGTAGACTGTTGTTGTATCTACAACTTCAATATTTTTTTTATTCAAAAAAATAGTAAAGGTTTCCCAAGGATTTTCCAACTCTGTTTAACAGGGCTTAGCGTTATTTACCGTCTTAGTCAGGGCTTAGTCTCCCCGTGACCACGGCTGCTGCAAAGCATCCGAAACGTCGGGCCGAAGTTAAAAATCATTTTCAAATAAGTTTAACTAATATATCGCGTTTTAAACCGTTAAAGTGTTTTATTTAAAAGGGCTTAGCCTTATTTACCGGTGTACGTACTAACCAAGAACTGCGGCTTAGCGTTCCGTCGAAACTTGGAAATAATCTCTTTATGTAAAGTCAACGGTTGCGCAAAAGCTTTTTCATTTTTCATTACGCCCGCAGGTACAGCGTAAATATTATTCTAACTGGGAATTCTTTTCGTAACTCATTAAAAAGACATTAAAGAGCAAAGTTTAAGCCTACTTCACGAATGTTTGGAGAATCGTTTATGGAAGTTATGGAAAGTTGGTTTTTCGAATTTTTCTTAATAATTGTGATAAATTACTATACGTATAACGTCCGCAGCTGATTGCCTAGAGTGTTTGTTAACGGAAGAGAAAGATAGACAATCATGGGATCACTTGATGAATTGAAAAAAAAACGTCAACTATATAAAAACTAATTAAGATGTTCTGTCGATCTATTTTGGACTTAATTGGATTTGGAGATGCATGGAGGTTAAATGGATGGTAGGAATACCGAGAAATCGTCCGGGTCACAATCTATCGTCTACAGATTAAAAAGCCGTGTTTCGTCTTTAATCCGTGGATTTCCGAATATTAGCCAATTAGGTGGTCAGCTATCTTGTTTAGATATCAAATATCTGGTTTTTCATCTAGTGTCAAGTGAATTCCATACTGGTATTTCCTCCTTATCACAAAAAAAAATTAAAACAAACTGTTACGCACTGTTAGAAAACTCGAAATCTAATTTCGATTAAAAAACCATTCTAAAAATTCTTTGACTTGATCATGATTACTTACATAATAATCCAGAGTATTTATCATCATAATTAATTATTATGATTTTAAAGATCACGTCTTAGTTATCACATATAACTATAGATAACACTAGATACTGACATAAATTGTTTCGCTCGTAGTCTTATCTATTTATGCATCACCATACGGCCTGAGGGTGTTTTCAAGATCCCTGTTATCAGATAACACTTAGGAATGTCATAGGCTATAAACGTGTCAGACCCTTTCTAAGTAGGTCAATCGATATTGGATAAGTATTCTATAAATGGGCTCAGATAATTTTGAATTGAGAGTGTGTACTGATTTCATAATTACCTCTCAAGATGTTAAAAAGTTTTGCAAAGATATTTATTTTATATCCCATGCTTCAAGATTTCTATTAGGATAATTTTGACAAGAAATTGTTCTTACAGACACAATCAGATTGCTCTAAATCAATATTAATTATTTCAATGTTCGCTCGCTTCTATACGTCCTTACTGATAGTTTTGAGTACCTATTGTTTTATCCTACCTATATTTTACGACTTGTGTCTAGACTAGATTTTGGAGTCTAGACCGAATTGAATATTTGCAATGTTTGTTTTTTTTTGTTATTTCTTTCGTCTATACTCATACATGAAGCTTGAGACTGTTTGTTTGAACGCGCTAATATTACGAACATCTGTTACCGAATGGAAAATAATATTTTCGTGTTGGCTTTTAGGCTTTAAATAATCAGGCGGCCAATAGGAGCGAAGAAACAGAAGAAAACATGGGAGGAAATGGGGGAAAATATT